TGAGGACTTTATTTTTGCGCAAATTGATGGTTCCATTGAACTTGCAATTGTTGCTATTTGAGGGCAAAAAGTTTCATGAAAGGTTAACTCTCAAGTCTAAATATCAAATCTGCTAAATGAACAGTAAAAACAAAAGAAAACTTGAGTTGCAAAAGGAAATTATTTTCTTCTCTTTTCTTCCCTGTTTACCATCCAAGTCCCTTCAATGTTGCACATTTCATCTTCTCATAATACTTGCCTTGATACTTGAAAATACTTTTTTTTGCTCCTTTCTTCCCTTATTCACTTTCCATGATAAGAAGTTACTGTTAACAATGATTCATGGAAATGATAAGAATCTGGAAGAAGGCATAAAAGAGCAGAAAATAATATGAAGTATGTTGAAGTTATCATGAGATTGTGATCATGAAAATGTTCACTGTGCAAAGTGTTTTCTTATTGAAGGTAAAGAAGGAAAAAAAGAGAGAAATATAAATACGGTGAAAAAGAATGAAAAGAAATGAAAATGTTGAATAAAAAGACGTATAAATTGAATGGCAACAATAATGGGAGGATAAAGTATTATTACAGGAGTGAAGAGTCGAGATTATCAGATGAACATGCAAGTGACATTTGTTAGCTTAAAAACTTTGCATTAACTTTTATTCATTTGTTTTTATTTCTCATTTACAGTCTTTTACTATCACCAAGCAAAGGAAAGGTTGAAATTTTTATCATTTCTTATTCTTGTTCCATCTTTTTCCTTTCAGATCATCATTCTTTTTGTTCATTATCTTGTTGTCATTATTATTGCCATCAAATAATCTAAAGCAATTTTTCAATAACGAAAAGAGAAAAGAGCAAAAGAGTGAAAATAAATATATTATATATTGAACAGCCTTCGCCGACTTGAGCTTTGGGTGACTTTCAAATGGACGATTCATCTTCTTTTCATATTTCACATCAAACTGATGATTCTATTTTTCTTCTTCTTCTTCGTCCTCATCATCATCTTTTTATCAGCTTTCTTTTTATTACTCTTAACTTATCTCTTTTCGTTTATCTTTTTAACTTGCAAAAGGCAAAGAATGGAAGTAGGAAAAAAACTTAAAGAATCAACAGTTTCCTGTCAGAATTTTTCTCAAATGATTGATGAACTTTATTTCCATGGTGCAAGGGAAAGATTTTTTCTTCTTTCTTGTCTTCTTTTTCGGTGAAACTTTTTTTTCTCCTTGCAAAGAAACAAAAAATTGAATGGAAAATGTGATCTCTGGGAAAAATTCATGCTTAGAATCTGAATGTTGTTTTTCAAATTTTTAAAGGAAAAAGCCAATTCAAGTCAACCTTCATCTCAATCATTTTGATGCATTTTTATTATTGCAAATGGAAAGGGTTGAAATCGGCTGGAAAATTTCATGTTAAGGATATTCTCTCTCTTCAATATTAGTTTTCATTTGAGCAAAAATAACATTTTTTGATTTTTCGATGACATTTTATTTCTTTTGATTGTTGCCTTCCAGTTTGATGACATTTCATTGTTGACAAAGTTGACCCTTTTGTCAAGTAAACATAATAGTAAGCAATCTCAAACAACTCATTAATATCATGAGCAAGAGTTGAATGTCCATCATAATTCAGCTCAACCATCAGTTGAGTGTTTATTTGTATAAATACAAAACTCATCTCCAATTACTTCAATTGCAATATCAGCTCACTCCCAGCCAACTCTCCACTTGCTCCCTTTTCCCTCCCAGCTCATTCCAAGCTCACTTCAACACCTCTTGCAACTCACTCCCAGCCGCTTCTCAGCTCGCTCCCCTTTCCCTCCCAGCTCACTTCAGTCCCTCTTGCAACTAACTCCCAGTTTGCTTGACTCACTCCAAGCTCACTCAAGTTCATTCTCAGCTCGCTCCCTCTTCACTCCCAGTCAACTTTCACTCTATCAACTCGTTTCTCTTTCACTCCAGGCACATTGGAAGCTCACTCTTGCCTTGCTTCACATTCATTCCCAGCTCCCTCCCAGCAAAGTTACAGTTCAATTTCATCTCGATAAAACTTATTGATATTGAACTCGTAGCTCAACCCCATTCTCAGCTGACTTGAGTGAAAAGTATTAATTTTCGTTATTGAACTTGTATTTGTATTGGTCAAAGAGAAACTTTGTCCTTATCGAAACTAGAAAACTCTTGATATCGTTATTAATAATAAAATGTTTCAATTTTGCATCTCTTCTTTCAATATAACATTCCCTGGCATTGATATTAAAAATAGCTATTCATTTCTTTTCCTTTACCATCATTATTAGTTTTGTCTCCAACTGGAATCTTGAATTCGTCAACAGTATAAGCCAATCTGCTGTACAATATTGATTTATTCTCAGTTCCTTAGGGAATGAATAAACTTTTATTCCACTATTTGCATAATCCGCTAGTGAAACGCAGTTTATCTCAAACCTTTTCTGGTTCCAGATGCAAAACAACACGAGAAGATGAAAAAAAGAGGAAATTACAATCTAAGTGTGATTGAATATTTAACTCGAGTTTTTGCAGAGTGAAAATGTCTTGCTGTGAGGAAATCGGGGTAAATTAAAAGAGCAAAGAAGATAAAGATTATCATCATGGTTGTGTATGAATAAAAAAGAGTTAATTCAGTAGGCAGAGTAAATCAAAGAATAGATATTGTGGTGAATTCAATGAGTATAAAGTGCAGCATCAGTTCAACAGCTCAAGTCAAGCAAAGTCGGAATTGAAAAGCAGAAAAGATGAAAGAAAATGAGAGTTTGTTCTTTTTTTTCCTTTTTTTAACGACGAATATAATTGAAGTTCATATTTTTCTAGTCATATATTTTTTATATTGTGTTGATGCAATAACATAATATAGACTGATAAGGTGGAATGCTGAGTTGATGAAATGAAAAAAAGGATGAAATGAATGAAAAGAAACTTTTCATCTGTGAATTAAGAAAGGGCGTGAATAACAGCATAACTTTATTGGTATATAATATATGAGAAAAGAGATGTAAAAATGAGTGAAGAAAAAAGTCAAATAAAGTTGACATTGTTCAGTAGATTGATGCAAAAATGTGATCAACTGAAATAGAATAATATAAAGAACTAAAAGTAAAGTAAATTCAGTGACAATATTGCAGAAGGAAAAGCCTTAAGAAATGTCAAAGTGAAGGGAGGTGAGAAAGAAGTAACTAATGCGGAACGGAAACTAATATACTTGGCAACATTCAGGGTTAAAAGGAGAAAAGTGTTGAAAAATATGCAATAATAATGATGAAAAGTTGAGAACTGAGCAAACAATCGAGTAATAACTTCGAAGAGACACCTGGCTGGGAGTATTTGAACTCATTATCGGTAAATAAAAGGTTCGTGATAGAATCATAGTTGACTTTTCTCTGTGATATCAACAATAAATGAGTAGAAAACACGAAGTTTAGTTATAACTATTCAATCAACCTAAAGTTCTGAACGAAATCGATTGATTTTGATTGATCAATCGGACCTCTTCTGGTATTTTTGAATTCGAAAAGAAGATATTCGGATGCATGAGCGACTGGAAGTTCTGAATGAGTTTGAGTTTTAGTCGCTAGCTGCATGAGAGCAAAAAAAGTTTTATTCTTTTTTTGCAAAACTTCGTCGAGGATGAAAAAAATCTTTGGAAAAAATCAGATTCATGGTTTATCAATCATCGAAAAATTTGATTCGATTTTTGTTCCAATGCCGAGATATTTCATTTCAAAACAAAATATAAAAAGATGCATTTTTTGCTTTTCACTGTAGATTGGCAACTATCATCAACTGGGAAGCAAACTCAAAACTTAATTTTGCTGTAAAGTTTGGCCATTTCATTGATGAATCTAATTCCGACGTTAATCTATATTTTAAGGAATGATAAAAGTTTAGCATTTTTCAATTTGGCATTTACACTCCCTTGACATTTACCCTTTCAGTTGAAGTTATCTGTTGAGTTATGCAATTAGGCAATATTTTGAATAAGATTGAATGCACGAATAAATTATCTTGCAATTCACTTGTGTTTATCAACTCATTTCATCCGCTTCTTAACAAACTTCTTTAAAAGAAAACTTTTGCTCATCAATTCAACCCAGATATTTCTTAATAACCACATGAATTGCAATTAAATTTCAAAGCATTTCTCTAACCATTCCCCAAGTTATCACATTATATTGAAATTTACACACTTTAAATTCATAATTGATTGTTCTGTTGGCCATTTTTCTTCATCAACAATCAACCTGAAAATAGATTTTCTTGCATTATTTCCTTGGAGATAATCAAATTTCCAAAGCAACAGAATTTTCTCCAAAAAAAGAAGAAAAAACTTGTGCTATAAATAATAAACTAATCAATTATTCAGAACTGAATAAATCAACATTAATAATGTTTTAAAATGAACACTGATAAGAATTGCATCTTAATTAAGGATAATTCAAAAGTTCAATTCAATTTCGAAACTTTGATAACTTCCTGATTAAAGATGAAAACATTTTCCAAATGAAGGGAATCCAAAAAGTGTTGAGAAGAATCAGAAAGAAGAGATAAACTGAAATGGAATTATATTTTTCTATCAACAGAAGAATCTTATTATTAACAAATTCTTCCTTCAATAATCATTATCTGAACCTGTTGAACTTTTCTCAACTTTTCCTGTTTATAATGATTTTCGTTGCATTTCAAGTGAACCAACAATTTCATGGCAATCTAAAATGAAAGTGTCGAGAGAATAAAAATAACTAGAGAAAAGTTGACAGAATTTGCATGGAAATTCAAAGATAATGTTTGAATGGAATTTCCATGAAGAGAATACAATGTTTCTACATTATTGCATTGAAAATTAATAAATGTGCTAATATTTATATTCTAATGAAGTCACCCTTTTCCATGCTTTTCCTTCTCATAATTACATTATTAGTTTCATTATTAATCATTCCCAGTTGATTCATTCACCTTATTCATGTTAATTTGTTTTCTTTGCTTCTCTTTTATCTGCAGCTTTTTCCACTCAAACAGATTGAATAAGCTCCTGATGAAGTTTGAAAAATGTTGCATCGATTGAATTGATTTCTGGTAAACCTGTGAACACTTGTCTAGTGATAATCATCGGGAACGTCAACATATTTGGCTGGCAAAAAGGACTGAATCGTTGTTGCTGGAAATAAGCAAAATTGGGAAAAAGAAGAGAAAAAAATCTCTCAAACAGGGAAGAGCAAGAATCAAAGGAGAAACAGCAAAATAAAGAGTAAAATCTGAGTTACCTTGGAGACATTAAAACTTATCATTTGGATAGTAGTTGGATAATAATCGAAGAGGTAAAAGTAATAATAATAAGTTGGATGAAAAAAAGCAACTCCCAGTTGTGCCCAATAGTAGAAACTGATATTATGATGGATAATTCTTGTTTCGTTACATTTATTTTTTTCTCTTTTTTTCTGTTTATACTTTTTTTTATACTTGCTGGTGAACAGAACGCAACAAAATAAGCAGGGAAAAGGAGCAGAAATAAAATGTTGACCAAGTAAATCAACGCCGATCGATAATCATTTATTCGTTACCTTGGACAGAATATTGAAAGTTACCTTTTATCTGGACCAACGTCTCTTCTTACACAAGTAATTGTACACCAAGAAAATCATTTGCATGGTAAAGAATAACAAGCTGAATAAAAGTTGAAAAAGAAATATTAGTGTGAAAGAAAATTGAAAAGACAATTTTTCTCGTCAAAGTTCTGTGCGAACAAAAGTTTAGTAACTTTTTTCTAGCTAAATCTCATTCGATTAGATCAAAAAAAAAATGCAGGTCAAGCCTCACACAAGCATAAATAAAATGAAATTAAAATCTAAGCGATTCTGTTAATGACGAATAAACTTAAGATCGACTTAATCGATGAAATAAGAGTCAAACGTTACCGTTCTGAATAGATTTCGGTTAACAGTTCGATCCAAGTTTCAATTATGAATGAATGCAAATGAATTTTTCATTGAATTGTTAGTTTTCTTAGAGAATCAGTATTTCTTGTTAACTTACGGAAAGGCACTTTTACGAGCATCGAATTAATTGGGCGTGCTAATTTTAATCATGATTTTATTAACAGTTTTTACTCCAACTGTGCAACGATAAATTATCACTTGAATGTTGACTTTGAAGATCGAGTTTAGAGGTTATCGATTTTTCAATTAGAGTTGCAACAAACTTTCAAATGAAATATCTGAAGCGATTCATTTTCTCAACACATTTCCAATCATTTTACATTTGCAATCATGTAAAATTATGAAGCATTATTTTCCTTTTCAATCTTTTCCAGATTCGAAAATCTGCAAATTCCAAATGTTTATTCAGATTGAATGCGAAATTCATTGAATCGATCTTGTAACTAATGTTTTATCTTTTCTCGCTTTTAGTTAATGTACGGTATGATCAGTGTTATGAGCCTGACCAATGGAATCATTCTTGATGCAACTTCATTACCAGCTTCGGTCACATCCAGTTCACCTTCTGCCTCTTCACCGCCCTCATCACCTACAGTCGAAAGTGTATCAAGAGAATCGGAATCTATTTGGATAAACAATTTAACCTCACCATTTGCCGGTAACAACAGTGAACCCTCACCAGGTTCACTTGAATCAATGATCAGGTCAACTTTGTCCCTGGATCACAATACATCAGCGACTCTTTTATCAACTCTATCAACCATAACATTGTCTCCATTCTCGTCATCACCCACTTCCCACTCTTCCCAACCTTCGCCTTCTCCTTCTCCATCATCATCACACTCTTCCATTTCATCTTCCTTTATATCACCACAAGCCTTGTCAAACGTTTTTACGACAACAACCACAGAAGCCTCAAAATCAATTTATTTATCATCAAAATCGACATCATCTTCATCATCAATTGTTAATTACACTCATCTCGATAACTTAAATTCAACTTTGGTTAACTTTTACAGAACGTTGACTAATCCAATCAGCCAATCCTGGAATGATTCAACCAATTCAACCTCAACAAGTAGCCCTTTCCATGAATCATTATCGATCAATGATTCAGACAACATTCAAAGTGATTCAATTGCCTCCGTTCTACCAATCGCCTCACCTTTATCTCTACTCTCTTCCCTGTCAATCCCATCGTACAATGCAATTCCATCGGGTGAACTAATCAACTTGAATGAAAGCCTATCATCACCAGCCTCACCTTCATCGCCAGTCTCATCAGTAACATCCTTTTTCCCTTACAACAATTCCAACATCAGTCTAGGCAACTGGATTGATTCCAGTCTATTTTCACCGACAACCTCAACCTCAACCCTCTTCTCATTAACCTTCAACAATGGGAACAACAATGGCAATAATTCGTTCACTCCGAGCAACAGTAACTTGGATAATCTAATATCATTCTGGGAATCAATTCCTTACCCTAAATCGGGTTACACTCAACTGGCTATCATTTTGTTAGCCTTTTTCATAACCATTATTATGATCGTTATCGTCGTTGGTAACCTGCTAGTCTGTATTGCCATAACAACCGAGAAATCGTTGAAAACAGTTCAAAATTGGTTCATTGCTTCATTAGCAGTTTCCGATTTACTTTTAGGTCTTGTTATAATGCCTTTCAGTCTTGCCTATGAGCTAATGGGCTATTGGATATTTGGTGCCATTTGGTGTGATATTCATCATGCATTAGATGTTTTACTGTGTACAGCTTCCATCAACAACCTGTGTCTCATTTCACTTGACCGTTATTGGTCGGTAACACAGGCAGTTAAGTATCTTAAAAAGCGAACTCCTTCACGTGCCATTTTCATGATTTGCTTTGTTTGGATATTTTCTGCTCTAGTTTCCCTTCCACCGCTTGTCGGCTGGAAAAACGAGTCCATTGAACCAGGAGAATGTGAACTTTCCAAAGACACGGGATACGTTGTGTACTCTTCGATGGGCTCCTTTTATGTGCCGGCCATTGTGATGGTCTTTGTGTATGCCAAGATATTTGTGGCTGCTCGATCAAGGGCTAGGAAGCACGTCAAGAAGCGTAAACTTCTTGTTAGTTCAGAGGTTACCAATGACCTGACCAAAGACAAGTCAACTACAACAACCACTTGCACCTCAATGAGCAACCCAAGTCCACCCGAGGCTCGTGAAGAGACTGATGACAACATTGAAACTAGTGAGTCAATGAAGGGTAAAGTGCTCTCCATTGAGGATAAAATTGCCGTTGAATGTAAAGATGTTAACTGTGATAACAAAAGTAGCAATAGCATTTGTGTCAACTGTGAACGATTAAAGAGTCGAAAAAATTGTGAAGACACTTCGCTGACTCCTTGTACAACACCGACTATACTCAACACACCAAAGGTTACCTTTTCTCCTCGAGACACTGTTTATGGCGAAGATAATAAATGCTGTGAAATTGGTAGCTTGCATCAGCGTGAGTGTTCATCGCCTACCTCGGTCAACTGTTCACCGCCACAGATAATCATTGAAAGTGCCAACAGCACAAGTGACAACAACGCTAATGACAATAGTAATCAGTCTAATCATTCAGCGTCCAATAATCGAAGTCAAAGTGTGACAGTGAAAAATAATGTTAAAAATTGTTCGTTTAAAGAATCAAATTGTGATTCAACTTCGACTGGAGTCATGTTGGCCGTCAATTTGTGTGATAATGGTGCGTGTAAACAGATGGGTGCAAGTAAACCAATTGCTCTGACTAATTGTTCCAATTCACTTTCAGAGAGAAAGTGTCCCAAATTGCGAATTGAAATTGACGATTCGATACACAATTATAGTCGATCTCAGTCCAATAGTGCAACTTATGCCAATGCAAACTCAAACAGTTGCGTCGAGTGTGTTACAGGGAACCAAATTTTCCCAACTTCCATATTACGTTCAAATGGATTATCAAGTGTCAATAGCAATTCACCAACTAATCCATGCAATTCGAGTCACCATCAGTACCACCAGTCGACTGGAATTGTCAGTGAAACTCGATTAATAGCTACAGACGATGATTCGGATGCAATTGAATCACCAATATCCAAGACTAGTGGAAACTTTGCCTTAGAATCAAAATCATTTCTTTCACCGTCATCAGCCTCAATGAGTGGCTTTGGTCCGGGACTTGGTGCTGGGTCACGGTTAACCTGTGGCTTGATACCCGGCTCTGGAGGCAGCCTAAGTGGCAGTGTAACCGGAGGCTTGACTCGATCTCCCTATGGATCAACCATGTCCATAGCAGACTACGATGACTCTGATTTGTGCAACGATTCGGGTGAACAGCCTGAATGTTCATCCATCAAGGGTACCAGTGCAAGTTCATCCATTGATAAAAAGTCAACCAAGGGAAAGGGTAAAGTTCAATATCAAACTCCACCAGTGACCAGGCGTCATCATACACCGTCCGATGCTGAAAGGCACAAGCGTAAAATAGCTAAAGCCAGGGAACGGAGAGCAACCCTTATACTGGGACTCATCATGGGTTCCTTTATACTTGCCTGGTTACCCTTTTTTGTTATGTATCTTACCTCAGGTTTATGCAAAAGTTGCCAAATAACGTCAGGTTTAACCTTTGGTTACTGGCTGGGCTACTGTAATTCAGCTATCAATCCAATCATTTATACAGTTTTTAATCGAGATTTTCGCAAAGCTTTTCGCAAAATACTTTTTAGGTAAAGTTGATCAATTTAAAGGAAAGTACAAAAAGCCAATCAAAAAACTTTTCCTTTTCTCTTTGAACCATTACAAAACTTTTACAATTAATAAATTATCAAATTGTCTTTCCTTTCAAATTGTTCAATTGTTAAAACAAAAATTATCTTCTTGTTTGACGAGTTTTCACCTTCACAGCATAAGCGACTCTTCACTCCCAGTTAACAAGCAATCCAAGGGACAAAGAGATGAAACCTGAAAATGCTTTAATTAAACTTGCTAAATTAAATCATCAGTTGATCAGATTTTCAACAATTTTCTTTTCTCCTTTAAATCTCTTTCCCTTTTGAATCGGAAATCATGGTCGATTGTAAAGAAGAAAATCAGTTTGCAAAATAAATTGTAAAAACTTCTGTTAATTAAATATCAAAAAGCATTGTTGAACATTAAAAATATTGTTATCTAATTCAATTCACTTTGTTAACTTTTTGCTTTCAATAAAAGTTGGGCGAATGAAGGAAAAGGCTTGAAATTGCAATTGATTTACCATTTCGATTCTCAATTAATCTTTATTTAAAAGCCTTTTTGGGTTCAATTGCATTTTTATTGTCGATTGTTTATGGAAATTTTGTTAAATCAAAGATGAATTTTAATGGTTCTTTATTGATGATTAACTATTGAGAGTAAAAATTGATTGTAAATGTTAATAACATGTAATTACTTGTTGGGATGAATGGATGTTCAAAGTTGCTCTCAACCAAGAAACTCTTTTTTTTTGGCTTTTCTTTTTCCTTTTTCTTCTTCTATCATTTCTTCATTCCCTGCTCATCAGCCAATTGTTTATCAAATGAAGCAAATGCAAAATTAATTAATTGTGCGCAAAATGGAATGGAGAATTGAGAATTTAATTGTTCATTCGCATGAATTTGACTGAGCAAAAAGGCAGTTGAGAGCCTTTTCAGGGTTCACCATGAATCAACGAGTAATCAATATTTTTATACTCTCTACTCTGTTACTCAGTTGATGAAAGTAAATACAAGTTGTGAACCCTGAAGAATGGCAAATTAATTACAATCAATTGATGAACAAATATTTGGGCGCAAAGTTAATCGTGGATAATATTTGCCAATGAATTTGGTGTCAATTCTCAAATTAATAAAAGGTAATCATTGCAACCTTTTCTTTCCACTGGTTTGTCGGCAAAAAAAGGAATGGAATCAACATTCAATTGTCCAATTTAATCTGGCCATTCTATTTGTGCAAACATTCATGAAAATGATGATTCGTTTCTCAATATTGCGGAAATTCCAATGTATTCTGTTTAATTTTTTCTGCTCAAACTATTCAATAGTCGAATTATCAACTGATTTGTAGTTTTTAAAGTTGATGGTTTGCACTGGATACGGAGCAAGTCAAAAAGTCTTGTGAGGCTCGCTTGAAAACATGAAAAATGAAGAAAAGACATTTTTGAAAGAAAATATTGATTTTATTTCGATTTTTACAATGTTAGAGTTAATCGTTTTCGAAAAGATACATTTGAATAAGGAATGATTACAAAAACTTTTTTTCGAGTTAAGAACTGTGAAATGAAAACTAAGTCTATTTATGCAAATAAAAAGTTTCTATGATCTGCAGTTTAAAAGAAATCGAGTTCAAAATTGAAACTTCGATCGCCTTTTGTGCAATATGAATTCATATTTTACCATTAACTTTATACTTCTTATGTAACTTTTGCTGATCGACCAAGGAATGGACTTATCTTAGGAAATCCTGTTTCTGCACAAGAGGTTACTTCGATTTCTGGTTAAAGCTTTGGCTTCAAGCAATGGTAACACCTAAAAAGATGGAACTTATTTTTCACCGATAGAAATGGTTGATCATTCTAAATGTTTGGAAACAATGAAAGGAAACTCTGCAAAATGCTCAAGTATAAACTTTGCATAGAACTAACTCATTTGGTTGACTTTAAGTTTCATGTAAATTACCATTGCAATGACAAGATCATTGCTTTTTGGTTTTCAATCGTTTATGAGTTTAGAGGATTCAACTGTAGCTCAAGTTGAAACCTTTGTAAACTTGGATTGAGAACGTAACTCTCTTCGATTTGCAAGTTGGAATCAAGTGCTTCTCATGCTTGATTATCTCAACAATATGTTCATTTAGTGTTGATTTATAACTACTAATTGATCCAAAACTCAACACTGACGACCATACAAATAACTCTTCATTGATTGAGCTAACGTCTTAAGCTGAATATTGATTAACCTTGTTTTTTGCTGTTAATGAGCTTGAGTCTCATGCTATCTGATTTGCACACTTTGCCATCCATAGCAAGTTTCGTCAATATCGATCTCATCATTATCACAGTAATATAATCAAAGTGATCGGTGTGATTAAAGGAAGGATAAATTGGTAAAGAAACGGAAGAAAGTCATTTCTTATTCCGGAGTCACTTGAGATGAAATTTCCGATTCAATATCACACCCTTTTACACCCGATTCCCATCCTCATTCCTGTCTCTCTCTTCTCAATCAACGATCGACTTCAACTGTTCATCTATGCGTTTCTTGTTATCCATCAGTTCAAATTGATATCTGCTTCTCGAGCAATCATCAAAAATAGTGAAGTCACCTTTCAATGAATAACCTTTCCACATCAATCTTTTTACTCGATTCTTCTCATGCTTTTTTTCAGGCAACAATTTTTTTCTTTTCTCTTTTTTACCCGTCGCTCCTGTCATCATGATGAAGATGATCATCATCTAATTCTTAACTTTGTCCTTCTTTATTCGATTTCATTCTCTTTTCTTTTTCCCATTTATACTCAAGTAGACTTGATATTGAAGTGTTTACTCTTAACCTAAAGAAGCAAAGAGACAAGTCTTGAAGGAAAGTTGACAAAACTTGTGCTCCATTGGCTCATGATATTTTAGTTTGCAAGAAGAGAGAAGATGAAAAAAGAAGAAAAAAAGTTATCATTATCAGTTATCAATTCCAAGTTCCAAGTTTCTCTTGATGAACCAATTTTCTGCCCTCCACTTTAGACCATCAATATAAATGATAAACTGATTATATTATTAATATTAGTTTGCGGTATTTACAGTTAATCAAAACTTAAGTAACTTGTAAATGACGATCAAATAAACAGAAAGCTAATGAAATGAAAACATTTCGTATTAATAAAATTATAAATTGATTAATGAGCGTACCTACGGAGTCTATATTTTAAAGCACCTCATTTTAAGTTGAACGCAATAGATTTTATTTGAAAAAGGACTTTGAGGGTCATAAAAACTGAGTCCATAAGTGTAACCATAAATAGTTGCTTGAAAAATAAATTCTCCGTTTTCGATACAGTTTCCGATAAAATCGCGTCCAAAGTTGATACTTTATGCACCTTTATTTCAACAATAGGAACAAATTTTTTAATCAGTTGGCTTAAGATTAATTTCACTTGAAATATAATATAATAAAAGATTTCTTGAAAGATGCTAGGATTAACGAGCTCTGTGACGACGTTCGTCCTTTTTTTGGCTGCTTCGCTGTAATGTAACGCACGTAAAATGTTTTCGCTTATAACAAATAAATTATCCTTAGCTTAGCAACAAAAAACGGTTTTCTCCTAAAAATGAACTCCTAAATGTCTGTTAGAGGTTCAATGACCTTAAGCGTGCAAGTTATGACTGCAAACAAGTTTAAATTGGAAAAAAGTCTGGTATTCTTCAAAATTCAAATTCTTTTAATGTCTTATTGTATCATTTTCAAGGGGAAATGCTTAACCGTATCGATTCACCAGATTTGTTTTTGAGTATTTTGTTTTTATTTGGAGGAAAATAATATCCTGGATGACCAAGTTTGTTGTTGAATTGAGTGTTACCTAGTATTGCATTTATCCCATCTATTGACCCCTTAGAATCCCGACGCCTACGGACTAAACGTGTAACATCAAATAAAAATGAAAAATAATTTTTGAAAGATGAGGGGAGAGTACAATACCTTTGCCTTTGCCCTTTTTCATTTCTTTCTCCTCAGTCATGGTTGCTCTTCTCCCCCTAATAGCTCTCGTTTCATCTGGCATCGCCGTAGCGAAAGCGAGAATAGCCATTATAGTACTGAAAAAAAACACAAAAGCTAATTTGAAGAACTGCATGTTCACTTTTTTATAGTTGGATTCAATATCACTTATAATTTCACAAAAAGTTGAGTCTTAAGTTTTTTATTAATTGAAACTGATGCTTTTCAAAACAAAACCATTTGCTTTTTATACTCATTTTTTATTTTTAAGATGAAAGCTGAACTATTGTTGATATCAAATCATTGTCTATTCATTGTCCTATTTTATTACTCATTAAACATTTTATCATTGATTCATTTGTTTGTTGCGGAAGCTTGTGCAGATAATGATACAATTAGATTATTGATAGCTTAATATTAATTTATTCGCAGAATTTTCAAGGAAAACAGCCATTTGTGATTATGCAGCGGTTTTTTGTTTGGATTTGGTGAATCTGATTAAACAGTTCATCAACATTTGATCGACAATACTGATCAACAGAATTTAGATATTTGTTTAGCCTTCTATTAGCTTATTAGAAGCTATTAGCTTATTACATTAATACTAGACTTTAAATTTCCACGAATCTCATAAACAGTAAAAGAATTATTTTTTACAAAGTAAGTTAAGAATCCAAAGTAGCAAAGAGACAAACCTTGAAGGATAGTTGACAAAACTCGTGCTCCATTGGCTTCTGATATTTTAGTTTGCAAGAAGAGAGAAGATGAAAGAAGGCAAAAAGTTATCATTATCAGTTATCAACTCCAAGTTCCAAGTTTCTCTTGATGAACCAATTTTCTGCCCTCCACTTTTGACCATCAATATAAATGATAAACTGATTATATTATTAATATTAGTTTGCGGTATTTACAGTTAATCAAAACATAAGTAACTTGTGCATGACGATCAAATAAACAGAAAGCTAATGAAATGAAAACACTTCGTATTAATAAAATTATAAATTGATTAATGAGTGTTAAAAGTGGGGACCAAGAAATGAATGAGAATCTAATAATAATTGAATGAAAAGCTCATTTGGTTTCTTGAGTTTACTTTTAAAACTAAATTCAATTTTAATGGCGATATGATTGGAAAAGGCAAACAAAAAAGCGATTAAAATGACATTTAAAATGTCAATAGCTTTGCCATTACGTCTTTCAATATTTACAGCAATACAGAGCTATTTAGCTATTTGCTTCCCGTTTTGTTTAAGAGCCAAACATGTTAAGTTTCTTATATTTGACTGCTTAAATTAATCGGATGGCCATTAATGAAAGTTTAAAGATCATCTGTCATTCGTTAGACTTTAAATCGACTTTCGAGGTGATTTCGTTTGCATTTTCTAATTCAAGAAAATTTGTTACAAAAATCAGCATTTGTTTCAGCAAAACGTCAATCGAGGCTGAACAGTATTGTACATTCAATTAAATCAACTTTACTTTTCAACAAAAACTCAATTGATAATCAATTTTGAAGAGTTATTTTTATTTGTTATCAACTCCATCTAACGTTATCAAGATGAAGTTTATTTTGGCAGTTTATTTGGCCAACTAATAATAATTGATTTGTACAATTTTTTCACTTCTCCTTTCAACTTTTTATTTCACAGTTTTTGCCTTCATTTTTCAACTTCTTTCATCAGTTTGGTTTTGTGATGTTGATCTTTTGCTTTGATTCACACTTTTGATAAACTTTCTATTCACTTTTCATGACCTTTGCATACTTTCTGGTGAATTGGGCAGAGTAAAGTTGAAATAAACAGAAAGGTTGGCTTGAATAAATCAGTTTAAATTCAATGGACCAAAAAGAAAAGAGGAACACAAATTTTCACTCTTCAATTCCAATTTTTCATCATTTTCAACCAACTCAAATCATTGATAATGGACAAAGTAACTCAACAACCGTATAATGAATCACATTTTGTGATGAAAGAAAAATAAATATAAAGAAAAAAAAATCATTAATTCAAATTGTAAAGTCAAGTTTGGATTCCATAACTGTCAAAAATACTTTCAATAAAGTGACAATTTATTCGCCCGAATCGGACAATGGAAAACAGATAAGTAATTCTCTAGAGAAGATGAAAATTAAAACTCTTTAACCCTAAATTGAATTCAATTTTCATGTGAAATCAATATGAAGTTGTAGATTTTGTTGGCTCCGAGAAACATTGATTCATCAACGTAACATTTGAAAAGTTCACGGACTAATAAAATATTGCATTCTGTAGGCTTTTCATTTTTCAGTTAATATTCTTTTAAAATTACTTAAGTTTTTCAGATGTTTAATCTCACTTACTACTCGTACAGCCTCAGAATCCTTAATTCTGGTTTCAACTTGATTGATTTGATAGCTTCTTCGCTTGAAACTTTTAATTTTACTCTGAATCTTCTAATGCTTCTCCTTCCTGGCACAAAAAGCTTATGATTTAGAACGAAAAATTAAATGTTTTGACAATTTTTCAGCACAAAGTGTTGAGCATTTTTTTCAGAAACGAAAAGTTTAATTCAATGTGAATTAAAATAATGACATTAAAGTTACTCATTTAAAGCCCACCATTTAATGATAAAGGTAAATAAGAGTAGATTAATGTTAAGTTTCACTCAACTCATTTCATAAATTATAGCAAACATCAGAACAGATAAACTTGAATGATGACTGATGATTGATTGCCCAGCGAAATGATTTTAGAATCCATTTTTATCCAGTTTCTTAAAAGACTGACTCTAGCTGAAAAATTGAAGACAAAATGAAGACTCTTTTTCTGCTTTTCATTTTAAAACTAAAGTAAAAAATTACCCAAAAATAAACTCAGCGATATTTCTTTCTTCCGCAGTTGATAAGATGATGATAACGGTGATGATGATGAGAAAAAACGAAGATCCATTCAAAAGTTGATCTGTTGAGCTACAAAATTTTCAGCCAAAAAGAAAGCTTTGAATTTGGAATTATAAAAAAAAGAGAAAAAGAATGATGATGATCATGACGATGTTGATGATGCCAAAGAATAGGATTTCAAAGATACAATCTTTTTTCATCGCTTCGAGTTGAACAAAATTTCTCAGACAATCAATCAATGCACAAATTTTCATCTCATTTGTTCATTTTTTCATTCCTACAAACTGAATTTTCTTCAACTTTAGCTTATCAAAACCATATTTTATCCTCAAAGATGAAGTTTGAATAAAATACGATTTGATGTTTAACCAACAGATATTGAAATCTTTGCGATGATCAATTAAACTTTGGTGAGTTGAGTTGAAAGTTTTTTCGTTCACTTTCTTGCAACTGTTATTCAACAGCCTGTTGATAGTCAGATTTATACCAATCCGGCTTCGCATTATCTAACCATTATCAACATTGAGTATTATTATTCTGGGAATGGCTATTAACCATGTATTAATAGAGACTCAAATCGTGAAACAAGAAACAATAATTTCTCAGATTTCTTCATCAATTTCAACTTGATTTATTTTCTCTCTTCTATTTTTACTATTATTTTGGGCTCATCTACTGCAATAATACTATTAATGATGGAACAATAATCATCAATCAACCTTTAACTTTTTTCTCAAAATTTCTTTTCTTTCTTTTTTTGCAACAATCGAATCTGTAATTTATAATTGTGATTAACTTGAAACACACTCTATTAATCAACTTTCGTTACATTTATTGCCGCTCGAAATTTCTTTACATTTACTTCAATGTTCAAGTCAATAAACTTATCAATCGACAGTGGATTTTTCATCCATTACATTATCCCAAGTTTCAATCTACAGTATATTTTATATGAAATGCGATGAATATTCACTGAGAAATTCACTTTTACTTTTGGAAAATCCTTTGGTCGAGTTTTGACTTTTGTGTCATAAGAAGGAAGATTTATCTGAAACACTGTTCTAACTGTTTCTTCAATAGCTCATGCGTTTTATCACGATCAGAGCGAAGCTTTCTGCAACGAAATTTGATCTTATTGGAGATTCAAAAGACACGAGTTTTTAGCAATTGCAATTGCTTCAACTTTCACTTGACAAAGCGCACAATTTGCTTGGAAATAATGGAGTTTACTGTTTCTTCGTTTCATGACTTGATTCATTGCAATTTCGTCAATGGAAAAAGTCACCTTATAATATAATCAAAATGTTGAATGGTAAAGATAATTCCCCTTTCCAGGCACTGGGAGTGAAAAGAAGAGTCAGAATTTCATTTAAGTGTCACCTTTCTTGATCATCTTTTGCATCATCATCTTTGCCGAGACCTGTAATTGGATTCCTGAAATTGTTTACCAACTTTGTTCACTCTATAAACGATTCAATGATGATGATGATGACGGCTAACCTGTAGATGATAATACATTCAATCATCATCTTTCAGTGAATCTCTTTTATCGAATGTTCCTAATGAAAGTGAGTGAACCAAAATTCTCAAATTTACTCTGACAAAGGTAAGAAAATTTAACCAGGAAAAGAAAATTGACTCACAATTCTAAACCAGTTTTTTTCTCATGAGTATAAAAGAAAAGTTTAGTTATTATTTGAAGATGAAGATGAGAACCAAGAAGAAGAAGAAGAAGCGAAAAAGAGGAAAAAAGGAGCAAAAAATGTTCACCATTTATCCTTTCACCAAAGTTATTAGTAAAATGGTGACTTGGTGACACAAAAAGAAGACAAATTTTCCTGTTTATCAATTCAAAACTGGACTTGGGTAAAGTCGAGAAATTGAAATGTCGACTCGTAATTTATTCAACAGACTAAAGAGAAAACAAATTTTCTTCCTTAACCATTCATCTTTTTTCAATAACTGCAACCACTAAATAGTAATGAGTAAATCAGAGATCACGAATGGCCATAGGAAATGCGATCTAAAATATTCATCTCAAGAAATTCATAACTTTGTGGTTTCACATTTCTTTTTCTTACAGTTGATGGAATAATATTGAAGAGAAAATGTTGTGCAAGAAAAAAATGATGAATATTATCATTAAAGTTCTCATCAGGGAGTGGAAACTCCAAGAATGACTGGGATGGAAGGAGTGAGAGAGAGAGAAATGTTTACATCTTTATTCAGAGGAAAATAATTTCCTTTGAAAGTAAAAGTAAATCTTGTTGAAAGAAGAAGAAAAATATTCATCTAACCTTTCAACTTGGCTGACCTGAACCAAAATGTTATCATGCAAATGAAATGATCATTGATTTCCCAGGAATAATTGAGTGAATGTTTGCCCGAACAAAATAAACAACTCTGTTTATCATTATATTCATCATCGAACAACTTTTTTTTCTTCTTTTTTCTCGATTTCATTTCGAATCAACATGTCATTTTGTGACAAAAAATAGAGTATAATTTAATCAGAGAATCGGAAAAGTTCTTTTTTTTCTCTCGAAAAAAAAGTTCTCTTGAACTTTTCTTGCCAATGAAAAGGAAACGGAAATGCAAAGTTTAACATAAATGACAAGATGAATGTGAATAGACTTGGTTATCGTTGTTATTAAAAATGGAGAAGCATTTTCATGGCAATAATTATTAAAATGTGCATATAAACATGTCACTGGATAAATCATATTCAAACATAATTCTTATTAATTCTGCATTTCTGGTGACTTTTGAGTCTTCATTTTGGATCGTTTTGCTTCTTCTTATTGTTTTTCGTCTATTTTTCATTCCTTTTCCACTTTTGTTTCATTAACCTTTAATCATCATCATTCTTTTGGAAAATTCAAGTTCCCAGAAGAAAATTATTTAATATTAAAAAATGTATCCAAAGTTATCAACAGTGATAACAGTGGCTGGGAGTAAAAAGGGGAAAAATATTTACTCGTTTTATATGTTATCCCATTAACCTCAATTTAGTCCACTTTTGTCATTAATATATTCAATTGTTGACAATTTTTCAAACTTGTCTTAATATTGAGTTGACATTTTGGTCTGTCTTGCAAGTTTAAATTGTTCAAGTGAAATGTGAGAATCAATTGAACAGCTTTTCACTCCTTTTTTGTTTCAAATGAGATTTCATTTTCCTTCTCAGTTCACATTTACCATTTCAACATGATTGACTGTTTAATCAAAAATTGATAAATATTCAATTGTTGAGCTTTTGTTGATCAGAAAATTGTTCAATTCTTTTTTTACGAAAATTGCAGTTTATCAACATTTTGTTGTCTTCAATTGGAAATATTTTATTTCCATTTTTTAGAGTTTCTTGTTTTTGAAATGATTAAGGATCCAACAAAGATTAATGAATAAATGATTGAAATAAATCTTGGTAAATGTGTTTGGTTTGATTGCTGAGAAATCTGTTTATTCATTTCTTTTGATTGTTAATCTTTTTCAATTTGTTTGAATAAATGATCTGTAATAATATTTTAACGCATTTTCCTACATGATCTACTTGAGTTTACAGGAAACTAAGCAATTTGAAAATCAATTTGATTCAATCACTGGCCATTACCGATGATTATTGCTATCAATATTTTAGTGTAAATGAATGAATAAAAGTCTACTTATTATTATGGTATTAGACTGCATGGGTTCATTACTATTCAAGTTATTACTTGGTTGATGTATCAGGAAAGAGTCTTTGATATAATGTATTGGAACGATCAGAATCAGTTGAGAATAAGTTCAATCTTTTAAAGGTTATTTAGTTACTATCAAGAGATTTCAGGGTGGATTCCAAATAATTTGAGGTGACATTAAGACATTGATCTTTATAATGCAAACCAAGAAATCTTTAACTTTACTCTTGGTTGCAGAATTATCTGCGACTCTTTAAATCTTCCATTTTCTTCTACCATGCTTATCATGCTTGGTTAAAGATAATAACAGATGGAATCAACTTCAAGAATCGAGAAAAGAAATGAAAAGAAAAAGAAAAATTTTCCGTGTAAATCTTTTAGGCTTCCTTACTGTTCAGTTGATCCGAAGAGAGTGACTATCTTAGGTTGAGAGACTCATCTCTTGTCGGCCAAATAGACAAGACCTTCTTCGTGAAAATTTACTAGTCAAATGAAGATGAGAATCATGAAGATGGAGAAGATCATGAGGATAATGGAGATGACGATCATGATCAGATGGAACGAATTTCAGTAATTAAGTGAAGAAATCAAATTGAAATTGAAATTAAAATAAAGTTACGATTTTCTGTGTAAATATTTTTGCTTTCCTTATTGTTCATTTGATGCGAAGAGAGTGACTGTCTTAGGTTGAGAGATTCATCTCTTGTCGACCAAATACACAAGACTTTCTTCGTGGAGATTTATTAATCAAATGAAGATGAGAATCATGAAGATGGTCAAGATGGTGAAGATAATAACAGATGGAACGAATTTCGATAATAAAGAAATGAAATGAAAATGAATATGAAAATTTTTCGGTGTAAATATTTATGCTTTATTAACTGTTAATTTGATGCGAAGAGAGTGACTTTCTTAGTTTGAAAGATTCATTTCTTGTTGGCTAATAGATTAGACTTTCTTGGTGGAAATTTACTAATCAAATGAAGATGAGAATGATGATGATGAAGATGGAACTGTATTTAGATGACTTTTTCATCTGACTGAACTTTATTTTAATCTTTAACTTATCAGCTTTTGACCGTCTTTTGTCCAATCTTGACTTGCCATTTGGAACCCTTTTGCATAATGAATCCTCACTCTAATTATACTTAATGCTTTAATTAAGCTCATCTCTTGATGAGTTTTTGTGTTTCTTTGTTTGTAGTTTACTTTACTTCAACTGTAAATGACCAGTTTATCCTGTTAATTTGATAAATTAACCCTTCACCTAATTTAGTTTTCAACCTTTTCTTTATTTTTTTCACTCGATTCTCTTCTTCGCTTTCATTTAATTCTTAATTCTTATCATTTCAATTTTTCTTTTACTTCCATTCCAATGATATTTCATTTTCTTGCTTTATTATTAACTTTTTTTTCGTTTCAAGTTAATTAATCATTTTATTTAATATACAAAAATGGTTATCATTTGTTTCCACGATTCACATTTAAAGTATATTTAAAGTTGAAAATTCACTTCACTTTTGTATGCCCTTTGCTTTGATGTTAATCAAGGAAAGAGATTCAATTTAAACAAATAAATCTTTTTAATTTTTTAATCTTCTTTTTATTTTATTTTCTATATTAATTACGTTCCTTTGGCTGGTTAATTCACTTGTAAACAATCATTGTTTAGTGATTAATTGTTTCAATATAAGTTCAATTAATGCTTCTACAAATATCGCGACTGTTAAATCTCTATTGTCTACTTTGTTCAACCATTTTGTGTCTCTATTGGAGACTTGACTCAATTGGATTAGTAATTTAAATTGGCAATTGATTCAGAAAGTGTTTAAATTATCGTCCAACTATGAAACAATAACAATTGTCCGGATAATTGTATGTTTATGAAGATTGTCCAACAATCCATTATTGATGGTGAGTTTATAGAGATATATTTTCAATTATTGATTCGCTTTCTTCTTGATTTTATGATTGAATATTTTTTTGTTTTCTACTTTAATTATAACAATAATTACTATAATTTAATGTACAATATTTATTCTTGATTTAGATTTACTTTTGGATTTCATTTAAACCGCATTTTGATTATTGGTGAATGGTTGTAATATGGAGATGTTCCCTCAGAAGATCCTGTTGTTTGGTTTTTCAGCAAATGATTTGCAGTTTCTCAATTTCAAATTAATTATCCAATTTTGATTGTTTTGTTGTTTATTGCTTTCGTTATTTCTTTTTGCTGGCTTAACCATCATCATGGTCTTGGAAAGTACTATCCTCTGGTAAGTAATTTATTTCTCTTCGATTTGTTAGTCAATGTTTCTGTAGCTGGTTTATGACTAATTATATTTTTTTACTTTATTTGTCTCTATTAGCATTGACAGTAGTGAATACATGAGGAATGGAGATTTTGTACCATCGAGATTACAAGCTCAACAAGAAGCTGTTCAATTGATCTGCCATTCGAAGACACGTTCTAATCCCGAAAATAATGTTGCTCTCATCTCTATGTCACCAAATCCTCATGTTTTGACATCTCTAACTGCTGATGTTAACCGAATCCTTGCTAAGCTTCACCAAGTTCAGCCTGGTGGAAATTTAAATTTAGGTAAGATCATTATATCATCACTGTGAAATATACTCAGGACTTGTATTAAATTTACTTTTTGTCTTATAGCCACTGGCGTCAGAGTTGCTCACTTAGCTTTAAAACACAGACTTGGAAAGAATCATAAAATGCGAATTATAGCCTTTGTTGGATCGCCTATCGACGTGGACGAGAAAGAGTTGATTAAACTGGCTAAAAGATTAAAGAAGGAGAAAGTTAATGTTGATTTGATCAATTTTGGGGAAGAAGCACATAATACCGAAAAACTAACTGCTTTTATCAACACTCTCAATGGTAAAGATGGTACTGGCTCTCACCTTGTAACTGTTCCTCCTGGGCCTCACCTTAGTGGTAAGTTTCATGTCAATGATTAAAGAAAACAATTTTAAAATGATTCGCTCAGTATCTACTCCTTTTTCAGCAAAGTCATCTCATTATCCTATCACTGTTCATTATTTCTACAATCATTAATTTTCAATCTTTTCTTTTTAGATGCATTGATTAGCTCACCAGTTATTCAGGGAGAAGATGGAACTGGTGCTGTTGGTTTAGGTGGATCAGGCTATGAGTTCGGTATTGATCCTAATGAAGACCCTGAATTGGCCTTGGCTCTCAGAGTATCAATGGAGGAACAAAGACAGCGTCAAGAAGAGGAGGCTAGGCGAGTGGCTGCCATTTCTGCCCAGTCAGGTGAATCTAGTGGAGAAAAATCTAAAGATGAATCTTCAGCTGCTGCTGCAGGCAGTTCTAGTGCCAATACAGAAGAAGCTCTTCTCGAAAAAGCTTTGGCTATGTCTTTAGAAAGTGACAAGAACACCAATAAGGATCAATCTATGGCTTCAGGTTCGGCTATGCCTGATTTTGCTTCAATGTCAGAAGAAGAGCAGATTGCATATGCAATGCAAATGTCACTACAACAGACACACGAAACTAAACCAGGAAATAAAGAAACTAAAGAACCTGAACCAATGGAAACTGATCAACCAGATGAAAAGCAAGAGGATAAAAAATAACTAGTTTTCTTTATTATCTTTATTAACTTTCCATAATTTTTGATTGTATAAAATCACAAGGAAAATAAAATCCATTCGGCTTCTATGGTAAATTAATTTTATTCACACTTGTTTGCTGTTTTACACTTTTTTTTGAGTAAGTTTATGATCAAAAATGATGAATAGATTTATCTGAAATTTTCAAATGGTTACCAAAAAGAGATTTAATGATAGTATCCTATCAATATAGTTATTTGATGTCCCAAATTTTTGCTAGTCCATCATCTCCACAAGAAGCTAGAAGGTTGGACTTGACGGGATTCCAAGAAATTGAGTTCACGTCACAAGTATGAGTTTTTTCTTTTCTAATTAAAACTTCGAAAAAGTCTGGTTGAGTTTCCTTGTAAATAACAATGGAATTGTCACCAGCAGCACTAGCTATTAAATTGCTAGTTGGTGACCAAGATACATCGTAAATTGGTCGATTGTGATAACCAGACAACGTTGCTATACACGTCCATTTGTCTTCTGCAGCTTTCCATATTCGCACAGTTTTGTCATCTGAACAAGAAACCAGACGATCCCCAGTTGCATTAAAATCAATTGCCCACACTGTAGATTCATGAAGGTCTAAAGTTTGGTAACATGACCAATCATCGTTAATCTCTTTGCTAAATCGTATGGTATTATCATAGCTACAAGAAGCTATAAATGGTTCCTTTGGGTGCCATTTTATTCGTTTAACGTCTTGACTATGGGCTGTAATTACACTGGCACATTCAAATTCATTTTCCTCTATTCTTTCCCAAATCCAAACAGTCTTGTCTCGGCCACAAGTAGCTAAAAGTTTTCCTGATGGTGACCAACTAACGCATTTAATTTCGTTCTCATGTCCCTCAAGATTGAGAGAACAATCCCATTTACCAGATTTATTTTCCCAAATACTTGTTGTAGCATCGAAACTGCAAGCAGCCAAATAATTACCATCATCTGACCAATCGATATTTCGTATAGTTCGCTGATGCCCCTCTGATAAAACATAATCACAACTCCAATTATCATCATCTGCAAAATATGAATAACAAGGAAAAAGCAAAAAATAAATGTAAGTTAATTCATCGATTGGATAAATGACAAAATTTCAACTCTTTGTAACGAGTATAATTACATGATCATCTGGTTTTTAGAATGATGAAATACTTGACAAACTTACTCTGTGACTGTTTCCATAATCGTATATCCTTGTCCGATGAGCAAGATGCTAAAATTTTACCACAATGTCTCCATTTAACTGCCCAAACACGATCTTTATGACCTGTCAATGTACTCGAAAGATCAAAAATCATAATTGTATCATCAATTTCACTATTACTGTACCACCGAAACGAAATGTTGATCACTAATTGATTGCTTTTATTGGATTGGTGGCTTTTAAAAGCATTACTGGAATGATGATTTAATGTTATCAATTAATTACCAAATTAAAATACCACAAATAACAAGATATAAAAAACCTTATTTTACATTATAAATTAATTGCAAATAAATTGCATTGAATTGATACTGTTAGGGATCGTTGATATTTTCTGTTGTGAAAGTTTCTCACTCATATATCAATGGCCCCCAGCTATCACATTTTCCTCGTAAATTTTTTTCAAGAAACAATCACAAATATTTAAATTCCTGAATAATTAAACTATCTAAATATTTCCATCATAAAATAGACTCAGCTATCGATCTAAAAACAGAACAGGTAAAATCAGGTGAAAACTTTAGTTATTTTCCTTATAAAACTTGGTACAATAACCAGATCCGAACAAAATTGAACTGACAAACAAAGAAGAGTAAAGAAACGAAACCATATTAACAAAATCATAAACCAATCAATTCAACATTACAATAATCATAATTAAATAACATAATGTAATGAACAATGAATGCAATATAACAAATGTAATTTAATGTGAAACAGATGTAAATCAATTTTTTTGTACTTGGCGGCCATTCTCAGGAGGAGCTTGATGTCTCCTTAGTCACCGTCCGGATACGGAAGGTGGTATCTTTTAAGTTAGTTTACCGATAGTTGGTTTGTGTGTTTTCATTGAATTAATCTACTTTGGCTTCAGACGTTTTTTGTTAATTGTAAGTTATTTAATTGTTAATTATTTCCATTACATTAATTCAATATCTAAATCTTTGTGTTGTGTTTTTCATTATTTTCAGTAATAAGCTGGTAAAATGGCTAAAATGAACAAATTGGTTACCTCTTCCAGAAGGAAGCAAAGGAAGCGACACTTCAATGCTCCATCTCACATTAGACGTAGGATTATGTCTTCTCCTCTCTCTAAAGAACTTAGAACTAAATACGGTGTTCGAAGTATGCCTATCCGAAAAGACGATGAAGTACAGGTATGTTATGGATCTAAATCATGTGTCATGTGCTTTCATTGTTTTGTTAGTAGAGTGACTGTATTTGCATGTATTCACGTTTTTAAAACTCATCGCTTACATTCGACTTTTTGTCTTCAGGTTATTAGGGGTCATCATAAAGGTTCCCAAGTTGGTAAAGTAGTTCAATGTTACAGAAAGAAATTTGTGGTTCACATAGAACGTATACAACGAGAGAAAGCTAATGGTGCTTCTGTTAATATTGGTATTCATCCATCTAAAGTTGTAATTGTTAAATTAAAAATGGATCGTGATCGTAAGCAAATTATTGAAAGACGAGCCAAAGGAAGAGAATTGGCTGAAGGAAAAGCCAAGGGAAAACACACTGAAGAAACAATTATGGAAACAGCTTAAAAGAAATATTTACATGTTTGTTCTTTTCTTCGACCATTTAATAACATTAAAGAATTGAGAAGAACAAGAATATTACTTTGTTATGGCTAGTCAATTTAGCAACATTGAATAACTTTATTGTAACAATTTTTCTCCTAGCTACTGTTCGTAGCCTTAATGGTTACACTATTCCCGGTCTCGGACAATCATCTTACTCATCTGTTAGTGGTGTAAATAATCAATCATTAGTTGAATACGAATCAAGTTCATCCTCAACTGGACCAATAGTGTTCTAATCAAGATCTCTGTAAGGCAAACTTCAGTCAATGGTGGGCTCCTTTATTCAGCATTAGTCGAGCCACATCAGCTGGTTCATCAAACGCTGGTTTACTCAGTATTACCACTGCGAAACATAATTATTCATTTGTTATCGTTCACTAACAACAGATTGTTTACGATGTTCGGCGCGAGGTAATGTTGAATAGCTGTGTGATTCTTTGGTAACTTCTGGTTTATTTTCTATTGTGAGTATTGATGGTTGCGGTGAAATTTTCGTGTGGTTAAGCGGTGATTTGGTTGGATTATGAGAAAGTTCACGCAATTGAGAAGTTGCTCTTTCGAGTGATCTATATTTGGTTAATCTGCGTGAATAGATAAGAAAAATTGGTTAAAAGTTAAAGCTCAAAGGTAAAATTGAGAACTTACTCAGGTTCCGTTAATGTATCAGGAGTAGTTATGTCTTTAGTAAATAACATTGGTAATAAAAGAAGTGTGACAATGAAACAAATACCTATTGGAATGTAAATGCAATACAATATATCATCGTGATAATTTCTGTAATTGTAGTTGATTACTGCTATTGGAATGGAAGTAAAATTAGCAGGCCAAATGGGCATAATTACGGAAAGAGTTTCCATTTGCTCAGTGTTGTTATTTTCATTGTCAACAATTTGGTAAACAATTGGTTCCTACAGGGAAGAGAATGGGTAACAAAAATTGAAATAGTTATCTGGTTCGTCTTCAATCGTTAGTTTCCATTTGAATATTTAACAGGATCATTTAATTAAAACGGGAGTCCTTATCAAGATAGCGATAGAAACAATGATTCAATGATTAGTATAGAGAAGCAAATAACGTACAATGTAACTTCATGTGTTTTTGGTTAATTTGATTATGTGCGTAAAGCGAGAAATAATTGCTTACTTTGATCATTTTAAAGCTGCACCAATCACAAAAAAATTGTTTACTTCGAAAATAATGTTCGAATCGAGTGAACTTGTATCGAGAAGGACAAGGATCACGATTTTTGATGGGTTCAACCTCACGTTCCAAGTCAAACAAGTCTCGGGAAAAATTGTTGGTACTTCCAATTCTGATAATTACTCTAGAAAGAAATGTAAACAATAATTATATTACCAATTTAGGAACAATTAATATCACAATTTACCCTTCCTTTTCTTTTGGGTTTGCTGGCAATCGATCTCCTAAATCCCGTGGAGAGACTATCTTTGAGAAATAAATATCTTTTGACTCTTTCCAAAGAGTATCGCGATAGATTGAAATTAAATCAGCTAATCTTTGTGAATTGAACATATTTTCCACATTTAAATTGGTCAATTTGAACTGTAACTCGTATTGAGCTAAATCTAAATGAGAAGACAAATCAATAAGAAAAGGTTTGTAATGAACGATTTACATTTTCAAACAGATACTTACTTTCCCTTTGCAAGACTTGTAATTTGAATGAATCACGGTAAGTATCGTAAGTTCGCTTGTTAATTGCTATCACTTCGACACTGAAATTTCCTGCCGATGGAGGTGTTCCATAAAGATAAGCATATTTAGAATCAGCAGGGAAACGATAATACATCCAAACAGGTAAATCGGGAAATCCTTCGATTGATGGAATAAATTCAAATTTATCTTGAGAATTAACAGTCTCATGAAATGGTCCATTATTGATGATTAGGAAGAAAGCTTCAGTTGCATAGAGAATTATTGGATTTTCCAATGTTATTCCTGTTGAACACAAATTTAAATTAATAATTGTAATGGCGAAAAATTATTGTTAACTAACCTAGTTGAATATAAGTCATAAGCCAAATTGAAAATAAAGAGCAAAAGCAAAGCTTCGATCTCATATTGTTGAAACAATTAAACAATTAAATAAGTGAATATTGGGTTACTTGAGAAGATGAAAACCAATAATGATATGTTCCTCTTTTTCCGGTTCAACTTAAAATAGCTAAGAATAAAAATTCAAGCGAAGCTTTGATTTGGCAAAGTGTCAAATTTTTGTATACATTTTGCTTTGGTTTACTTTGTAATTTTATTTGAACTTTTCAGCTTTTTTTGTTATACAAATCAGAGAGTAAGCATTGAAGCCGTTTAATAAAAACATCGATATCATCTTTGGTTACACCTATGGCAGCAGCTGCAGTTAAATATGAATGCCCATAATCATTAGAATGAGAACACCATGCAACGAATTTATAGCCAGAAATTTCTTTGGTTGGACAGTTTTTAGAGATGACTCGAGCTCCAGAAATACCACGAATAAATAACATTGATCCAATGGCAGTTTCTTTTCCATCTGGTTTTACGAAATTATCCAAAGTCATTGCTACGGATATTTTATTCGCTTGAGTTTCGAGAACTTTTTCACCGAATTTTGAAGCTAATATCTTCAATTGGTTCACTAAATAGTCCATTTGTACACGTCTATCTTGAAGATATTTTGAGTATCCATTTAACCCTAAATTAAGTATTGTAATTAAAACGTCCAGTGATGGAACAGCTGATCCTCTCCCAGGATAATTGCTGCTTATTTTATTGATTATCGAAGGTTCAAAGCCAGCAATGATAGCTCCACCAACTGGGACTAAGAAATTTTTGTCGGTACTTTGAATGTAAACATCTACTCGTCCAGACCTAGAAGCTTGTTCAATAAGTGACATGCATTTAGTTGACGCCATTCCGTATGCATTGTTGACAACATGGGGGATATTGTGAGATTGTGCGATTTTTCCCAATGCAACTAAATCATCGGGAATTCGTGGAGCGAAACATGAGGTTGTTGACATGATAGCGACAATACTGTTACTTCCATGTTTTTCAATTAGACGAGTAACTTCATTGATGTCTGTGGTCAAGGAGTCGCCTTTTTTTACATTTTCAACAATCAAAGGAACAAAACCAGCAGTTATTATCGATTTGAAACAGGATTTTTGGTCTATTCTTGGCCATATGACAAATTTAGCGTCAGGTCGAGATGCTTTGAAAGTGAGTAAACAAAGAGTTAAACTCATCCCAGTAGCCAAAGGAACGATTAAAGCACTTTTAGTATTTGGAATTCCGTTCTTTTTCAAAATATCTATAAAAATAAACAGTTAGAAAGCACAAGTTAGAAAGATAACCACAACGAAATGATAGTTTCCCAAAATTAATGGTAATAGTACCTAGTACAAGAGAGTTTGCTAATATATTGATTAAAGATGAGCCAGCAGCTTTAGGTTGGATTTCACTTATATCACCAGATCTTCCGATTCCATGTCCCATGTTAAAATGACGACGAGCAACCATTGGTGACAAAAATCTTGATTCCCTTTCTCCGATTCCACAGTTGTGGAGAAAGTTATTGCTATCCATCATTGATAGTCTATGTATCAACAAATCAATATTTATCTCATCCCAACCATTTAGAGGACATCGTCTTTTAACCAGGAGTTCACTGATCAGCTTTTCACGAGATGTGATTGAATTGGAGGCTTGTTGCGAGTAAGTTGAGCCAATGAGTTTACAAATACTATCGATGTTATCCATGATGCCGGCAATGCAGGAAACTTTTGTAACAATCTCAATGAAGTCACAAATTACAGAAATAAAAGATAATCAAAGACAAATGTAACCAAACAGGTCTATCGAGTTTTGTTCAAATCAAAATACAGTAAAAGACCAAATTTCAAATCTTGAATGTCTTTGCAATCTATGTTAACTGTTCAAGTGTGAAGTTTCGGTACAATGATAGACGCTTTGCAGGGTCTAATGTATCATAACAAAGGTTAAAAGATCGGTCAGGCTTCTATAAACACCATTGTTTATCACTATAAACTAATAATGAAAAGATAAAAAAAAAGTCAGGATACATTGAAAACTAAAGATTTAACACTGATCTAGCTCTATACAGAAAGTAATTATCACTCACCTGATTCTTGTTCACATTAATGGTAGAAGAGGTCCCCTTGAAAAAAACATTTCAATTATAATGGCGATTGATCAAGAACTTAGGATATGAGTATCTTCGGTTGCCGGTGGAAACATTTTTATCTAAAATTGAACAGGAGGGAAAATTATTTAAGAAGATGAAAAAAACAAGCAGAAATTACATTGCTTGTAGGTTGATGTTGTGATGAATCAAGCATGTCGCTAACAAACTTGCAAGTACAGTAAGGATATCAGTTTGTCTATGGATACTGGTTACTCGATCTCATTAGGATCATTTTAATTCACAGACGATGCAAATGATCAAATAAAATTCGTGATTTTGTGTCACTAGTTATCACGGACAACCTGTAAGCTAATCAAGATACCAAAATGAGAAAATTAAAGTTAGAGTAATTCATTGTATCTATTCGATTAAACTCTCCAGTAGGAGAGTTTCAGTTTCAAGAGCGAATTTTGGATACTGATTATTACAAGATACACTAGAGTTATTAATTCATAACCATAAATTATTAATTGTAGAGTATAACAGAAAATATGTTAGTTTGAGAAGCATAGAGATTTATATTTGAATCTGGTTCAGTCAGATTATGTATAAATCATTTAGGAATTTATCATATAAAATATGAATGATTCCAAAAATAAAAATAAACATTGTTTTAAAAATTAAAAGAAATATCAACTAAAAACAAAAAAAATGATAAACTTTGACTAGTTTGAAACAATTCTGAATTTAAGTGTGTTCAACACGGTAACATTATTTTTTCCATCTTCTTACAAATGAACATGCAATAGACCAACGATTTCTTAATGAAATGAATTGACAATTACTTTTTAAATTAAATTATGGTAACAGAGAAAAGTCTCTGACTGCCGTTTTATTTCAACTCCTGAATTTTTTGTTTCGCTTTGAGTTTGTTATGGATAAAGAAAAGTGACAATTTGTTTGTTTCATTTTTGTTTTTGTTTAACTGGTCTCCTCGATTTTTCATATATTAAATTACAGATCATCCAAGTCGAAATCTTCTACATCGCCTTCGTTTATTTCTAAACTAAGGAAGTCCACTCTGTAGCGAAGAATTCCTAGAATGATAAAAATTGTAGAAAAGCAAATTAGTATGAAATGATAAAAATAAATCAGATAATCGTAAAAGCTAGCAGTTTGAGAAGCATTTTCTTTGTAGCAAAATAAACTAGCTAACATTAAATAATCTGTTTTAGCTGATAACGAAGATAGAGAAGCTGAGTAAATTCATGTTGTATTTCACAATGCATGGGTTGCGCAAAACACGAAGAGAAACTAACAAAAGAAGATGTTTGTCAGCATAGAGGCAACCCATGAATTTACTGCTTGATACAACTTGTTTTAACTGCAGTTATCTAGATTCACACGTACCTCCGATTCCTCCAAATCCTTTAACAAATTGGGATCCTTCTTGAGACCTGTCAGTAATTATTTCTAAAGTTGCTCCAAATTGTTTATAATTGTTGGCCAACCATTCCAACAAGGGCATAGATTCTACTAATTCTAATTCGACTCCTGTGTCTTTATCCACAAAATATGATTTATCTTTCTCTTGAGTAGGGGTTAGATGTAAAATCTTTTCTTCTCCTGTTGTATTGTTCTTAAGATTATATCGCATGATCTCTAAATTCTCCCAAGCGATAAGGATTTCAACAGCTCCCATTTCCATTCCTTTTAATGTATCTTCAACACCAAAACAATACTTTCCAGTCTCTTGAGAAATTTCATCGAAGTATCGTCCTAAGAAACAAAATTTCAAAAATTAATAATTATCAAAGTGTGACTATTGTAACTTCAAAGAAAATTTCCAGCAAGATAAATTTTCACCTGTACTAAGGTGACATATTTTTCGATAAAGAAGCGATTCCTAGTAACATTGAAACTAGGATTCTTATATTATCTCACTGGATTTTACAAATATTTTTCAAGAAGTATTGAATAGTTTTTCTTTGAATCTTTGATTCTATAATGACATCATACATACCAATAAGTTTCTTTTCCTGTATGAATTTGACATTCGATAAAACTTCTGCAGATAATTCTATTGCTTGATTGAACCCATTTTCTCCACCATAAGAAACATCGACTAATTTTAATACTTTTGTTTGCAATCGCTGAAAAAAGAAATAGATTTCGATAAGTACACAAAAATGGTCTTGTTTAAATTTTAAAAAGTTGCGTTGATACTTACAGGATCAAACATGTCTGATTGACTCAATTCAGTCTTAAAATCTGCCGAACCAGCGAGAATTAAACCAGCTATATTGACCTTGTCATTACTAATGTAAAGTTGAGTAGCAACTTCAGCCACTTTTCTAACATAGTTGTGACGCTTTTCCATACGTAAACGAGCAAAACGAAGAGCGGATTGACCACCACGACCTGGACAAAAAGTGAACACAAAACAAGAAAATTTTAACTTTATAACGAGTACAATTCGTTATTCCACTTTGAATAATAATGTAATTTTAAAGTTATGTTCCAATTTTACTCATCACCCGGTTGGAAAAAAAGTTTAACGAGTGGAAATTATTGTTTACAAATAGCTTACCGTGCTTTTTCGGTAAGTCTACTGTAAATTTATGAAGAACGTCTCTTGTATTTCCTTGTAGTGTACCAAAAAGAGCTCCATTACCATCCATTACAATAAAACCAAATTTATTGTCATCTGCAAGAAGCGCCGATAAGGCCTCAGTATGGAATTTATTATCACAGAGATACAATGATGTGTTAATAGGTTTAAATGGTTCAAAGTCAATGTTAACTTTTTTCTCCTTCCCTTCATCGGTAACAATCGTCCCGCAATATATAACTAAACCATTAGGAGGTACTCTAGTGTATAGTTTAAGACGATGTTGGACTGAAGTGATGGCACCCAAGACGGATAGACGATTAACACGACTTTTAATATTAGATGCTGTACCGAATTCATCAGCAAGCATTTTACTAACTCGAGATATTTGATCCTTTGGAGGTATAATGAGAGAAATCATGCTGGTTCCATTCCTTAAAGAAAGTGATGCAATGAAGAGTGAAATAGAAAGAGAAGAAAAAGCATATGATTAGTTTTGAAAACATTCAACTTCATTGTAGAATAGTCAGCAGAAGCCATTCATTATAGAGTATGATCTTTTTCATTTTAGGTGAACTAATACACAATTAACTTTGTAGCATGAATATGCTATTATGCATACAATAGCAGCTTAGGGAGGGTCAATGAGCGAGGGCATTATTTAAAATAATACAGCAATGCTTATGACAGTTCTTAACCTGCTAAAATGGAGGCTATAAACTGGCTGTATAAGAATGTGTAACCAGAAATAAGATTACAGATCAAGTGTAAAATGTAATGTGGGGTAAGGTAAAACGATGAAGGATGGAGAAAAACATGGATAAAAACCAATATGATCATAAATACAACAATAAAGTACGTGGCATGCTTCTCTTACCCTCTTGCAGCTTCCAAACTCTTAATCAACTTTTTGATCTTCCAAATCTCTACATTACGGTCAGCACTGGTTTCGTCCAAGCCTGAGTTACTGGCCATTTTTTTAATAGAAGATTAATTAGTAAGGTGTCGAGCACACACACAGAGAAAAGAGAGATAAATAATCAACTAATCTTCTACCAGAAAAACCGAACAGAAGTGAATTTTTTACATCCACTCTTCTTTACTGACTTTTCCCACACCAGATAGCAGTGCTATGTAAATCAGATACGCATGCGGTTACAAATTAATTTCTTCAACTTGATTCAATGAAATTGATTTAACTCTTAATAAACCTAATTTTATTAACATCTAATTGTGTAAATTACAAAAGATGCAGACAGCAGAATTTACGATTGTCCAAAGGTAAACAGGAAATGGATAAGTGATTAGCTTGTAGCTGATAAAGTCGGGAATTAACATCGACACTTGAAAGAGGATTTCTGGTTCAATGTGATGCACCGGCATGGATTATCTTAAGCATCATGTCAATAATATTATTTTTTATCCTGAATTGATAAGATTGTGCCTTCTCCATTCAGCTTTTTTGTTTCATTTTATGTTTCAACAACACATTCATTCATACATTTACTATCCAACAATGATAAGATATTTTTTTCTTCCCTTTAGATTTTGATAATAATATTAATTTACTACCTCTAATGATAGTAATAATCCTTAATGTTATCAAGTTTAGATTTGTTCATCGTTTTGGTTTAACATTCATGGTTGAAATAATTGCCGTCCAAATCTATTGATTGAATGGATCTCATGAACTTGTGAGTTTATAAAAAAAGTCAGGAACCTGATGTTGTCAAACTTTCAATTATTTTGTTAACCCTTCATTTAACCATGAAAGCAAAGTAATTACCATTCAATGTCCCTGAATGGAAACTTGATGGTAAATAATGATTCACAAATAAACTAGACAATAGTCTATTCTAAAAGTAGAAATAAAAAGGTCGATTAACAGTATTTATGATTTTTCATCTTCCTCGTTTCCATCTAATCCATTCAATATTGAAGAAATAATCTGATAAGAAAAAAAACCACAAAATTTCAACCATTTCATGTTCAAGCTGCTGGTGTAAACCCATTTATGCTCATTTGTGTCCTTGTTTAATTGCTCAAAGTCACCTTAATCATTATTTCCGTTGTGAAAGCCCAGAAAATATTAACATTGCTTGTTTTGAAGAGAAACTGCAAAATCCAAAATGTCAATTAGTGAATCAGTGAAATTGAAATTCAAGTTGTTTAAGGTTATTCCGATAATTATTTGGACCTGTCTTTGAAGTCAATGGCAGTTAAAATATTGAATCATGATAATCCTCCAAGTGCACATTTATTCAATATGAAAATCAATATAATGATCTTATGTAAAAGACATCATTAATGATCGTCCATGGTAACTGATGTGTCAATGATGCACCTTATAACTGATCAACAAATTATTTCCAGGCGTATCGGTAATCATATTTCATGAGCAATAAGAATCAGCATACAATTTTGAATCTTTGAATCTAATTCCTTTTGATTGAAAGGCTCCCATCACCAGTTGAATTGTAATCAGATTCAATAGCATTTGCTTTACAACTCTTTTTCCATCCAGAAATGGTTGTTATTGTATAATAAAAGTCTTGTTTTTTTTCCTGAAACAAGATGGTCAATATGGCCAACAAGTTTTCACGGATACAATGAATGACAATGAATTTGTTACCAACAGCATTCAAAAAGGATTAACTTCCTTTTGATTCTTGTAATAACGTGTGACAGTGAAGTTACCAGAAATCCAGATGTCCCTAAAAAACAGCATCAATCAAAACTCGGAATTGGCAAAATGGTTTTGGTTTGAGATTGACATTCAAGGCTTTAGCTTTGATTAAAAACAAAAATTATAGCCAAGTTTAGGTAAAATTAAAGATCGACTTGGAAACAGAATGGCGATGATGATAAAAGTGTTAACCAGACTAAAGACCTGAAAGATTAGAAACAAAAAAAGATGAGAAAAGGGGTTAAATTTAACTGGTAACCTCAAAACCTTGACCTTGCTCTTGATTCGATCCTGGTTATCTGTTCTCGTTTGATTAGTCTCCCTGTTGGGGTAGATTGAAGCGATGATGAAGATGATGAAAATGATGGGGTTGAGAGTTGATTAGGCCTAAAACATAAATAGAAAACTGGTTTGGTTATGAGTCATTATCAAGACACCAACAACAGATTGACTCTAAAAGGAGCGGAGGCAAGGAAACCGAATGATGAAAAATCCGTCAACTGCGGATAGTCAACAGGGCGGAGTTTAACATCAACACGCAATAATCAGTAACCAACCAACATCAAGTACAACAATCAAACTTGAGAAATGAAAACAACAAAATGAATAAACAATCGTACGAGAGATCAAGAAGAGAAGAGATATTTGAAAAAATATAAATTATTAAACATTGAAAAGGTTCAACTGAACATTTCAAAGTCTTATCAGTTGCTTTATTTGATGAAAAAATATTGACTATCTTTGAATGTGACCTTTGAGTAATGTATTGTTACCAGTAAAGTAAAGCTTAAAAATCAGCCGAAAATGTTTTCTTTCAACTGTTGAATCATTTTTTTCTTGAAACCAAAAAATAGAATCTCCAAAAGCTTTAAAAATAAACGGTTTTGTTACACTTTTCACAAGTAACAACATTAACCAGTCATCAATTGTCAACCAGTTTGTGTCTACAATTTGAATCCATTTTTGAAGAACCAGTTAAAACAGTTTCTTTAACTCATCCAACACCAAACGTTAATTGCTCACTACAGCATTTGTCTCTTGTGTGCTTTTGGTACCAACAGTTAGTGTTTACCTTCAAATTGTGCCTTCAAAATATATTCCATCATGGTTCCCGTGTCAACCTTTTTTGTTGAAGAAAATACCAGAATAAACTGTGTTAAATTAATTGACAAATTACTTGGAATCAATCGAAGTAAATGCCCAGGAATTCGTCATGTGGTTCGTGTTAATATTCTCATGGTAATTCTGGTTCTTTTTTTCCTTTCCACATGGATTACCTTTTACTTTGCCTCTGTTGGCCTCGGACTTGCTGTTTTCACCTTAGTGTCGTTACTTTAGTTATGCAACAAGTTTCTTTGGTCAAACTGTTGGTCAAACAATTGGAACAAAATCAATTAAAACGAAACCTAAAAAGTCATAAGATTGATCTTCAACAATAGTATTTATTTTGTAGCTGTTGGTCTGCTGAGAGTTATATTGTTTGTTGAAAGATATATCCATTGATTACCTCATCTATTCATCTTTAACCTGATCATTCGAGCTTTACTCGAGCGACTTCTTCATCATGTTCATATAATTTATCTAAAGCTATTTTCACCGGTGATTGCTGATTTTACATGGACAGTAATAAAGCCAACTCAATATGCATTTGTCAAATCTTGAACCAGTTGATTTAAAGGAAAAATTAAGAGTTTTCATTTTGGATTGGCGGCCCTAATAATTTAATCGTAATAGCGTAATTCAGCTCTCGTTGGTCCAATGAATGATCCGAAAGTCTTTCACGGTTTTTACACATTCACTATATAAAGATATTTAAATATACTGAACAAGGTTAACAAAACTACCAAATTAATGTTACAATTGTAACCTTTAACGTTTAACCAATCTGTTAACCAGCTTTCTGTTAATCTTTAAATTATTGTTTCAATAAATAAGCAATAAATATACACTTGTATAGCTTTATTTTTGTAAATTTCAAGTTTTATTTTAAATTTATCCGTCTCAGGTAAAGTTAATTAAACAATCTTAATTATCAGATTAACCTTTTTTTACTCCTTTAGCTGAAAACTTTTTCACGGTGCAACTACAAACAACAGTTAACCTTATTACGTTCCAATTATTTCAGTTAATTGAGGATCTGTTGATTCGGATAAAGTCATTTAGTAGCAACAAAATCGTTAGTCTTGATCAACAGTTAATCACTTTCAAGATGAGTCAAGTCGAAATAAAAATGCCATCTATTGGGAAAGAAAAAAACAATAGACAGTTTTGAAAACAGTTGATTGATTTTAAATGATTGTCATAAGCAGTTATGACACAATATTTAATGATTGACTCTGACCTTGTTTGGGTGCCAGGCCTAAGGAGCTTTTAACGATCATCAATTATAACGCTAATGATGACCAGGAAATGTCCTTGATGTCTATGGTTGGCTTAAATAGCGGTCAAAAATGTCTGATGTAAAGTTGCCAGGAAGATTGGAATCATTTGCTGATCAATTATTTACTCGAACAGTCTTATTAATTACTGGTGTACTCTTCGTAAACATCAACAAAATGGTTTGATCAGCAATGTAATTAATAATAATGAATACCCATCGGATAGAAAGCCATCAACAGGATTGATACAGTGAATTTGAGGAAAACGATCAAATCGTCTGGTTTACACGTGAATGGCGTACAAAAGTGGTCAAACCAGGATTGTTTTCATCTTTTCGGAAGGTAATTGGTTAAATCTTTATAAATATTGCGTCTGTAAATGATGAAGCTATGACAAATCACTGTTCAGGTTTAAAAACAACTTGGTGTCACCCATATTTCAATGTATAATTAAATAATGGCGTTAAAACCCTGACTTATCTTTTCACTTTCATTAGATGTTGACAATATGTAAAGCATCTTGTTACCAGAAAACCAGGAACACCACGAGAAACAAGATGACAATGATGTAAGATGGAAATGCTCAGGAACCAAGAAAGCTCAATGGATTTGCATGTCAAGAAATATTCACACCGTTGAAATGGTAAAAACCTTGCCCTCCTTTCAAAAAGGTTTAACTGTTGGCCTAAAATTCAAGATACTACCGATCGAACTGAAAGATATAAATTATTGCTTTTAAATTAATGGATGTGAAAGACTTTTTTGGAAAAGCTCAAAAGGATTGACAATAAAGACTTGTTAAGGCATAAAGGCTTGTCGAACCAAAGACACCACCGATTTACCCACCAAAACTGTTTACCAGAATTTCAGATTATTGTGTTTTCCAAGCGCAATCTTAAGTTCATTGTAATGATCTATTGTAATCACGTATTGTAATATTGACAGGTTTCGCTTGAAGCTTGCTCAGCATCAGAATCGACTGCAGCATATTTTTGGAGTATGTAATCCATTGAAATTTTCTCGTGGTAAACTCAATGGAAATGAAAGAAAGGAAAATAGAGAGACAGAATTGAAAATATAACAGGATGAGTGAGGAAAGATGAGAAGAGAAAGAGTCACATTTTGAGACGAAACGCCCAAGCATGATACAAATAGATGAAGCTAAAAAGCTTGAGCCAGAGAGAGGCTAAAGCTTAATTGCAATGGAGAAGAAGCAGAAAAATTAGCCTCATCTTTTCTTTTCTTCTTCTCTTTCTTTCTTGCACTCATCATCATCTCATCTTCTCTCATCTATTCAAAATTAGATCCACTGGAATGTCTTACCAGCAAAGAAAGAGACCAAAAAATTCGCGAGTCAACACACAGTAAACTCTCTTCACTCATTTTCCTTTCTTCTTTCCATTTCACAGATTTTTATGAACGGAAGATCATCTTTTTCCATCATCATCATCCCCATGAATCTGTGCTCCTTTAACCTCACTCCATCACCAAAACCGTTATTTTCATTACAACTATTTACATTTCTCTAAACAATAACTACATTAACGTATTCCATGTGATTTGTGACTCTCTTTACATCTTTGGCCACAATCGAGATTCTATTTTCTTAACTCTATCCCAAGCTGACCTCTTGTACAGTTTATCTCGTCTGGTTTAGCTGGTTTAACAGTCAATTTACCAATGTTTACAATTTGAGTTAACAGTCAACATTCACAATGGACAACCCAAGTGCTTTAACCCAAAATAAATTTATAAAAATTAACCAATTAGCATGATTCAAATGGATTTAAATGATTGACTTTTGGCCAGATGAATCCAGCAATTAACAATGGATAATCTTGTCCCCATTTTGCTGTATATACGTAATTTTCGTGAATATCGACATCGAGACTGTCGAGATGGTTCTCCACGATTTGTGGTAAGTAACCCGATTCAACCCAAAAATGTTAACCCGAAACCAGAAGCTCAATTTATTCCCATAATTGTTCTTGGTCAATTAGATTGTTAACTTATTGTGTAAACAACAACAAAATGTAAACAACAATTTCCAGTAATCAAGTTACCATTAATGTGGTTTGTTAACGTCAATGATCGCAGTGTCATTAATGATCATTTTGTTTTCCCTTTACTCTCTTCATCATATCATTTACCCTTAACACCAGCAATTACTTTTGAGCAATTAATTGCCCAAGGTTGATTGGGTTTCATTTACTTCAACTGTTATCATTTCCAAATAACAATGTTGACTCGCTTGGTTCAACACTGTTAATTGTTGCTCACAAAAAACAACAAATCAAATGCTAATATCATTAGAGTTTGCTACTAATTAGCAAACCAACAAATTTATTTATATGTTAAGATGGTTTATCAGCTCACAGTTATTTTGAAAACCAGTCAGATGATAATCAAGAATAACATTTGCCTACAATTAACAGATTTACTCTAATTTTCCTTAAACTCTGTTAATCATTTCATCTTAACAATCACTTGTATCAGATTTTCAACTTTTCAATCAACTTTACTGCAAAACAACCAAAAGGTGTAGACATTAATTGTTAAGTATTTAGGTTGATTAACAGTGATCTAGAATGACAACAATCTGAACAATTTCATGGGTGAAAGAAATCTGTGACTTGCGAATATTTTTAGACTCTCAGACTTAATCGTTGTTACACTTAAAACAATTTAACTCTTCTGTTACTAATCTGTTTAATCTCTGATCAATCTTTTACTTATTTTGCCTCACAACAATTGAAGACATTATTTTTCTGGTCTTATATTTTCAACTCATTAAGATGATTATGTTTTGATTGTCATAACATAAGGTTATTAGACTCAAAAGCAAATTGACTGTACATTAATCAATAACCACAAATTGTGATTCTAATATGTTAATCGATTCACCTATTTAACTGTTGAGTCCTTATTTTTGTTTCAATTTCATTTTTTCTAATGTTCCCATCATTATATATTTGATTATGTATTTAAATCGCTAATTCTGTTACCAGGATAAATTGAATCAAATATTACAGCAAAAATTTTAATTCCTTTTACTGAATCTTTTTTCCTCTTAATCAACTGTATTATTCAAGTGATTGGTTTGAACTCACCAAACAGGCTGACATCAATTCATCTTACCATAACATTAAACAATATACTACAAATTAAGAACGCTATTAGGAGGAAGGAAAAACAAAATAACTTTTCTCTTAATTAGAATTAAAATGTTTATATTCAATTTTGGTGAACCTTCCCTTAATCTGGTTATCATAAATTCTGATTGATTATGATTATTATCAATACAAGTTTACAGAAGCCAAAAATAGTGAATCGATCTAAAAATAATGAAACTCTTGTAAATCAAAACAACTCATTTTAATCAAATTTTTATGTCAAAGATTCAAGTTACATTCAATCTCGTAAATCGCCTCTGATTTTTGAATCCAGAATTCTTGGCTTCTTCTTTATCTAATCATCATGGATCTTTCTGATCTGAATCATTCCAAATCAGACTTTGATTTTAAATAAAAACGTAGATTGTGTTTGAATGTTACGGTTACGATAAAAATGTCTACAGAATGTTAATTATTAGATCTCAATCTCAACTTTTGATGAAACTGATTCATTGTGAGGTTTGAACCCTTGATTGTGTTAAACTTGAAATAAAACATGAAAATTGAAGGAAATATCAGGATGATATTATCAACAGGAAACTAAAATAATGTTGAAAATTTATTCAAACAAGTTGAACAAACACTCGGATTCAACCTGTTTAACCTTTACCGGGAAGGTAAAAGTATATTTGAAACCAAAATGGATTTCATTTAGCTTTTAATAAATTGATTTGGCTTACAAATTACAATAAATTTAATTTTTAAGGTTAAATTTTTCTAATTTATATGTTATAAAGGATAATTGAAGATGCAAAAAACCAAACCCAAGTCAAGTCTATTGACGTATAATGAGTGAACGTTTGTCAACCTAAAATGACGACTGTTAGCATGGGTAACAGATGACCTGAACACAATTTGTGAGGGACAGTTTAAGGCTATAATAATATATCAATGTGGAGAAACGTCAATTCATTGCAATTATTGTTGATTATTAATTCAACAATGAATTGGCTGTTTTCATGGTTTGTTTTCTTGCATCTATTGTATCCAAATTACATCATCAATTGACAAGAAACAGTTGAGTTAACTGATTACGCTGTAAATCATATTATTTTATGTCCATTTTATGTTTAGGGAACATTAACATCACTAGTCGGTCTTGAGATACTTTGCCTATTTTCATGTGTGTTTCAATGAATTTGCTTGTTTAATTAAACAATCTTGTTTACTCTCTTGTACTCTTGTTACAGGGACGTGAGTCATCTCGCCGTAGAGCTCGCAACAGATCATCTGTATCAACATCATCTCCATCATCTTCCTCGTTTTCATCAACAGCAACAGGTAACAATAGTGTTGGAAGATCACCTTCATTTCGTTATAAGATGCAACAAGTTGGCGAAGAGATTAAGGAACTGGAAAAAGAAACTTCTCCTGAAATTGAAAGATCATCTCGTGTTGATATAAAATCGCCGTCAGTTAATCATATTGATTCTACATCGTCAGATCACCAATTGGTAAGATTTAATCATCCATTTAATAATCCTTGATCCATGGTCTAGTTGCTTGTCTTTTGTTGTTAATTTTCAAAGTCAAACAGTTATTTATGAATCTATGGTAAAACACATGGTTTGCTTTCAATCCGGTGATAATCTGATTAAACCATACAAGTAATTTTATCATCACAATTGGATATCATGGTTGTACTCGTTATCCAGCTTTTATTTCCTTGTTTTAAATTATTTTTTCGCTCTTGGAATCACCTCTCTGTTTGTACTAATTACCATCATTGGTAATTTGCTTTTGTTCATTGTTGAATTTTAATCTTTCCGATTTTCACCATTTATGTTTTCAGTGTTATTTCATGTTTATCATCTGTGTTCACCATCTTAACGTTATGTTTCAGCAAATAGTTTAGTAACTTGCTTTACTTTGTGTTAACCAGAGACAAGTTTATTCTTTGGTTGTCATTTCCTTTTCCCTTTCCTTTCAATTGAGTTCATCATCCTCACCGTAGTTGATTATTTTTATGATTAAAATTAAGGTCACCAGAAAACGATAACATACAATTGAAATTATGTGTACGTTTCTTTGTCTTGTTGTTGATTGAGCGAAACAAGAGCGAAAAAAAATTTGCAAATTGTCAGCAAACAAGCAAACCAGAATGTTTCATTAGTAAGCACAAACTGTTAACGCGAAATTTAATTAACCATTGATTATCTTTGTAATTTGTCTAATTTTTCTTCTCTCCACCATTGGATTATCAATCATGGTATCATCATCAACACCATTATCACTATAATTGTCAAAGGAGGACCAAGATTATGATGATTATTCCAAGTTAACCAGTTTAGAAGACGAAGAGCTTACTGAAAATTTCCAGGTAACTGTTTATATTAAATCCTTATAACCAGATTTTCGATTTGTTTTCATGATTTGAACCAAAGGGAGTTTCCCTGATGTTTTTTGATAGTGTACTGTAAGAGATAAAAAAATGAAATTAGATTAAAATGTCAGATAAATGATACAGTAGAACAGATAACAGTTTGATTGTAATGTTGACTTACATAATAGATCATGCACTTGTCAAATTGGTTAGAATATAAGTAAAGATCTTAACTTTAACCCAAGTAGTGTGTGAGTAAGAAGTACAGAGGAAAAGATGAAATGTTAGATTACATAATTAACTTCTGCTGTTTGATTAACTGTGCTGGATTCAGCGTCTTTAGTCGATTTGTTAGTCGTCGTCTTTCAAGGAAAAGAAAAGAAGTATGAATTGACGTTTCTTGCAATGTGATTTGATGATCATGATTTTTATCTTCTACGATCTAGATGAATGCAGATGATCCTGATGACTCTGATGGTAAATATCGACGAATTTTGTTGGCTAACACTCTTCTGGACAATGAACGTCAAGTTTATTCCTTTGAAGTTGATAACATACGAGATGAATACAGTATATTGGAGGATGATTATTTAAACGAACGCCGACTATTGAGAGACAAAACAAGGGTAAATTCAAATTATTAATATACATTACTTATTCTTGTGTCAGTGAAACTGTTTAATTTGTGTCAAAAGGATTCAATACAAACCTTAATTTAAAATTCATCTTTCAAATAGGCTCATGATTTATTAACACGGGATTACGCCAAATTGAAAGATTCTTGTCTTTATCTAGAGCATTGTATTAGCCAACGCGATGGTATATTAGAGGTATTTATTCAACCGCCATTGTAATGAAAAGAGACAATTAACCAATTTCTTGTTCCTTGTTTGCCAGAAAAACGGTCTGAGTTATTTGCAATTAAAGCCATTCCGTTCATTTTGTGATATTAAAACTGTGGCTCACTGTGATGAGGACAGTAATGATGATTTTAATGGAGACGAGTTTGACTCTGCGCCATTGAATTCTTCCGTTGTCTTAGTAGATAATCCTTCTAGTCCTATTGACCAATTTGTGATCAGTTTCTTCAACCAGTATGACCAATCAACTCTGGAAAGTAAATTGAAAGAGCTGATTAATGAAAAGATGACTCTTAATAAGGCTGCTGAAAAATTGCGGGAAGATGTGAAATGCAAACGTCAAGAGAATCTCGACTTGGAAGAGAAAGTTTTCGCCGATTCATTCAATTTTATTGATTCTTCCGATATTGTAAGCCTAGAGGCTCAAAGTAAGTATGCTAAAAGTATATATAATCAATGGCAGTGATAAATTGTTACTTTGTTAGTTTGCAACAAAATTTAAAGATATTAAGATATTCTAAATAATAGAATGAGCTGTTAAAAAGTTAAACTATTCCTTTCAACATCAATAGAGCTAAGCGTTTCCAAAAACTGATGGCACAGATAATAATTTCAAAGGCAATGTTAAAAGAGCTAGACTGAGAATGTCAAATTTCTTGTGAATTTCAAACTTGAGTAAGCAAGCTTAAACGATACAAATCGGAAAAACAATATGATGTTAGGTGGGGGGAAAGTAGCTGAGACTTACATAACCGATGATGAGCCATGATTAAAGGAATGAACTTTTTAGTTTCTGTTAATAAGCTTGAGTGGAACAGCTTGAATCTATTTAAAGAAAAAATGGAAAAGTATGTTAAAAATGTGCATAACGTTGACAAGCCCTGGTTATTAGCTGAAAACCGTGTAGGTAGATGTAGACAATTCAAGTGTGTTGATGTTTCTCTTGGTAATGTCTTCAATTTGTGTGGTAGTACATCATATTATTTACATATATTTGCTCTACTGTAGAAATGAATATTTAATCAAGTCAAAACATCATCTGAGCAATTTCCTAAACATAATGAGTCGTTTTAATACATTGTAATCCAACAAGTAACTTGACTCCTAACTTCACGCACAGTAATACGCAGTACACTGAAATAACAAACCTTTTCCTTTTTTTCAGAAGAAAACATTCGACTCTTGAATGAATATCGGGATAAATTAACCAGAACAAATGAAGAAACCAAACGTTTAAAAGAAAAATTAACTTACCTTGAAAGTGAACTAGATCGTCTGAAAAGCCGTCATCATGATGCAGAGTTTTCAGAAATCCAGCTCAACAAGAATAAAAGGCAATCACTAAGAAAGGTAACATAAATTGACTAATTGAAACATTGAAGGGTTCAATATAAAAACAATTAGCGGAAATTTGGTTAAATTGGTTGCAATTTGTTATGAAAATTTTTCTTATCAGATGGTAAAAGCCTTTAGTAATATTTTCTTCTCATAGATGGCAGATCTGATACCATTTATTTATCTTCATAAATTTCTTGAATTTTAAAAATCAGTTGATCATGTTTAATTCAGTGTAACCTTGATTTTTATTATTTATTTCATGAATTTAAGTTAATCAATCAAAATGGTGTTACTTCTATTTGTTACCTATACTTGACAATGATAATAACTTTTGATTGTCAGCCCAAGGTTGATTGTTTAGTGTGAGAAGTGAACCTCAACTGCTTGACGGTTCTAACTTGACCAAATTAATGAGTTTTTTTTTCTCTTCTGATTGTAAGATTAAATTGTTGAGGTAATGTAAACATGGAACCCTTTTCTGTTGAAATTAAGCTATTAACTTTGTTCAGTTAAGCTTACATTTAATTAACAATAAATAACTAATCAATGTTTTTCCCTATCATTTCTCTTATTCTCATCTTACCTCAAAAATTGGTTAATGGAAACTCAAAGCTACGAGAAGTGGAAGCCAAAATTGGTGAACTTGAAGGTTTAAATAACCTTTTGTATAAGAAACTTGATAAGATGAAAAAGTCCAAATATGTTGTAAGCTGATTCCAAAGTTAAGAAGGATCTCCAAAATGAAATGAATTTTCTTCACTTGCAAAGCACCAAAAAATCAATGGAAAGCAAAGAAAGAAACAAGAAAATGCCCAAAAGAGTGACCATATTTTTGCAGCCATAATTTATTATCTTAATTGATAACATGGAAAAACAAAGCCATTAACAAGAGCATCCGCCTGCCTAAACCTACCATCGCTTCACCACCATTATTATCAGCGTTATTAATGCTGCCATCATTAGCATTAGCATTATCATCAAAAACAACAATACCAACAACAAGAACATCATTATCATCATAAAAATTACAGAAATAACATCAACATTTCATCTTTTCTCATGATTTTCTTCCCTCACCGGAGAACATAAGCAATTCTCCCATCAATTGCTACTCTTTCCAAGGATCAAACCAATGAAGGATCAAAGACTCCAGCAAAAACCCTTTACTCTGAAAATTCGCCATATTCAAGTAGCTCTTATTGGACACACAAAAAATGACTGATCGTTGGCTACAAAAACAGAGCCATTTCAAGTCTCTTTTTTTACACCGAGAGGAAAGATGAAATCTTTGCCTGTTAATTTACGCCATTGTTACAATTTCTTACGAGATTTTCATTACTTCGCATTTAATCTCTTTTATTCAGTATTATTAATCAATGTTGATAGACAAGAAAGACAATTTTGATCACAAGCTGTGCATTAGCTTCAAATGACAAGTTAATCCAACGAGCGAGCAAAAATATCTAACGAATCTAGTTTTTTACCTCGACATCGCCAAGACATCAATGTATACTTTTGTGAAATCATTTCAGTTATTCGTTTATATCAGCCCATACTAACCAAGTCCATTGTTTTTTGATGCCATCCATCAGCACCGTGAGCCCATCAAATACCAACCATCGATCAATCAAATTGACTGTCAATCGAGTATGCTTAACCTGCAAATCTATAATTCAAACCACAAAGGCCTATCATTGAGACTAGCATCGTTGACTCAACTGCAAATTTGACTTGTTTTAAAAAAACAATCCAAGTTAATCTTCTGATTACGCGATTTTTACCTTGTCTACATTCTTAATCACCACTGTAAAGGTTGATGTACAAAAACATAAACACAACACTTGTATACACCTTGGATTCAGTTTCTAATGGTGAAAATTGTTTTCAATGAACAGAAAAAATTAAACTCTTCTTTCAACTAATCAAAACAAAGAGCCACTAAAAGCAAATGATATTCCAAGTCAATGCCTTACAATGAGGAAAAAGCAAAATTATTTTCAAAACCCAATCAATGAAAAGTGCCAAACATAGTAAACAAGACTCTTCAGAGTCTCAGGTTAACAGATGAAATAAAGCTGCGAAAAGACAACATAAAACCATTCTATCTAAATGACTGTTTATCCAATTGCCTTTGATAGTGTTGAACATAATTAGTGATGATTTTTAATTACAAACCTTTGGACCTGTAAATGTACAACAAGAAACCTGGACATGTAAGCCACACAATGTTACCAGATTTGAAATGGGAAAACAAAAGGAACACATAAAAATCCAAGCTTTCTCTATAAAATAATGATAATGATAGTAATTCATTAGCTGAATGCCTGTTTATCCTCCTGTCTTTGAATCTGCCATTTCACCAAAGAAAGAAGCAAGAAAGATGAAAGAAAGTGATGAAGATAAAGTAAAAACAAAGGTGAACAAAGCAAAGGTCCTTTGAGGCACTAAGCATGATTAGATGGTTGCTTTTGATTGCTTTTTGCTCATTCCTTTATTTATAAGATTTGTCAAGAAAACGATTGCACGTTCACTTGTTATGTTTCCTGTAATATTTGCTGGTTTCTCCTCTCACAACTCGATAAAATAAATAACTGAAGTTACCTTCAAATCATCAAAAATCATCACCATCTTTACCTTTCACCCAACATTTTCATCTACAAATTTTGATTCCAAAGACAGAGAGTGAACTTGCATCTCTTCTCATCCCTAACCATCAAAATATGTTTACCTGAATGATCAACAGTAAATGAGATGGCAACAAATTGAAAAGCAAAACAAAAAAAACACACCAAACTCAATTGTAATCATTGATTGTTCATCTTGTTTGGTTGTAAAAAGAAATAGCAATCAAAATCTGTCAAAATTGGCTGCGATTGATAAAAAATATATTTATAAAGTGAGTTATTGATAGCAATATTTTTAAAACTGGTCAAGATTCTTGAAATATAAATGAACAGTGAACAAAAAATGAACAGGAAATTATCGTTATTATAATTATATTAGACAATGACGGGAAGAAGAAGATTATTATTGAAATTGCCTGATTGTTACCAGTGAGATGAACGGTTCAACATTGAAATACCTTAAGATGACTGTGATTTAAATAATGGCGAACCTACTGAGAGTTACATTTCCTTCTTTGATTAACTCAACAATAATTGTAATCAAAAACATGGTTGATCACCTAATAAGACTGTATCCGGTGTTCATACCTATGAAATTAACTTGAAACCAAAACACACCCAAAGATCACCTTGATTAACTTTACCAAGCTGATAACTCCTGGCGATACATTAAACTGACAATCTCAAGACAAAGATGAAAATTATGAGAAAAAAAAGAGAGATGAACCTTTGTTTTCCTCCATCTTCCTCATCTTCAAAGATGATTTACTAAAATGATTACTTGGATGATCAGGATGATACATGAAGACCGCCCAACTTCCCACATCTCGAGTCAATAAAAGTTATCGAGTTTCTCATCTTTCGATTGGGAATCATGTTAAAGGGCTAAATACACACAATGATTAACAATTGGTGAGCAGCAAATTGGTTTAATCATATTGTATAATTGTATAATCGACAATTGGACAATCTTTTCTTTTGGTGTGTTCCCTAAGTGTAAAGGTGGGAGGATAAAGATGATGGCGATGATGAAAATGATGTTAATAATGTTAATAATATTTGTATGAGAAGGGGATAAAGATGATTACGGAGGATGGAGAAGATGAAAAAAAGAAGAAAAGATGAAAATGAAATAAAAAAAGGAAAAGGAAAAGAGTAAAGAATGATTGAGGTTTATATTGTTAAATAAATTGGTGAATCAATTGGAAGGCTGTGACCTTATAAAAAGCATCATCACCATGGGGTCATGTTGATGATCATTGGCTTGAACAAGAAAGCTTGATTTGTCCAGAAACATCATTTCTATCTCGTTGATGATCAACAACAAAGTGATCCAATTACATTGAACAACAGTAATTTTTACCTCTTTCAATATTCACATCCTTTTGGATCAACAGTGAACATTGAACATAAAAAAAAGATGATAGTTGAAGATGAAGAGGAGGAGGAAGAGGTGATTATCATGAATCGATATGGAAAGGAGAGGAAAGGCTCTGAGAACAGGAAGTTGAATGTGAACATGCAGGGTTCCAAGGCGGTGTGATACAGAGATGATCAACTACATGATGATCAAGATTGTTGATGAAAGGAAATGGAAACCAAATGATAAACTGGATTAAAAGTCCAGTCCATTAACAGGGTTCAACTTGCTTTCATGCAAGTCAATTTTTCTCTTTGTTATCGAAAGAGAAACTTGGGTGAAATTAATAGTCAGAATTTGAGAAATATTTCTATTCTTGAAGCTAAGCTTTAAGATCAATTTCATGCAAGAAAAATGATTGAATTAGACTAAAATTGAACCAAGATTTTTGACATGTCAAGGCGACTCTTAAGCCTTTTCATGATTGATGTCCAAGTTCAATTACTTATTCTAATTCTGATTCCTGTTTATGAGTCTAAAGATCTCATTCAGTCGTAAAATTTGATTAAATACAGAAAAGTAAAATTGAAATGCTTATCCAAGACTCAAGAGTAAAATCAAAGGGTAAATCTATTGAGCCACAAATGTTTTCATTGATTGACCTAAATGATTATGCTTTTAATGTTACATGCAACCAGAGCCTAGAATGTGTTCCAATCAGAAGTCATTCCATGTATTTTTCGATTTTCCAGTAAAATGATGAATGAATCGAAAATCGGAGAAAATTTCATTTATCGATTGAACTCTGTTTAACAAGATTCAATCTTTCAGCTTTTGAAAATCTTTGAGTGAAAAAATTGAATCGGAAAAGAGACTGAATGTGAGTGAACTGAATTAAACTGAACAGTAAATTAGAACAATGTTAATTGAAAATCATTGTAATGCAATTGTTTGAAGTGATTAACCAAATGAAAAAGGTTAGGTTAATCGATCTGTTATTTTGCTAATTGTTCATCTGATTTCATTTGCTTAGTGTATTGTTGAGTGTAGATCATGTTTAATGATGAATCTTATCTCCATTTTATTACAATTTTATGTAAATGTTTCTTCCTTTATGATATCATTTTATCACTTGATTGACAAAAGGTTGAGATTGTGGTCAACTTAACCTCTAACAAATCCATTGACCATGCAACTTGTTATCAAAACATCTATCTCAAGAGTTCATTGTGGTCTATTATAAGCTAAACATCTGAAGCAACGAAATGAGCAACAATAATTACAGCATGATTGAGCCTTAAATTTATTCACTTTGCGCTTAATTTGAATGCAATTCAATGTTCACAGGAAAACATTGGAATCATGAAATACGATGAAAGCTTTGATAAAATCTTTATTAAGATTGAAATCATCTTTTAATTTAATTATAGTTGAATATTTTTAGTTGAAGTCTGATTATTGTTCATTTTAAAGTTAATATTTGTCGTTCCAAGCCATTTGGAGTGATAAATGCGAAACGAATCTTTTCTTTCTGTTCAGATTAATTGTAACAATCAATTCATTCCCAGTCAATTTACATAAATATTAAATGATTGATCGGTTAATTTAACCAAAACACTCCTGAAAATTGAAGTAATCAGTTAATAAGAGAAGATAAAAAAACTACAAATCGCAGTTGCTCCAAGAGCGGCTTCAGTTTGTATTCAAGGTTTACTGATTAATGAATTAATCAATTGACCTGGAATGTAAACAAAGAAACAATTGAAACTTGAATGAATCTATCTTAATCAACTATCAAATATGCAAACACAATTGAAAGATGATTAAGAATCAAAAGGGAAAAACAAAGAATCAGAGTTTGGTCATTGAAAGATGACATTTAGAGCAAGCAAGACAATTATTAACCACAAAATTTGTTAATTATAAGAAACTAAAGGTTCCATTGATCATCTTTGTAATAAAATGATTTAATTTACTATTTTAAGGTGTGCAAACCTCAAGCTATCATTTAATATCAATAAAAAAACAGTAATCATACAATAAGCTTCCATCAAGATTAATTGCAATACATGATAATTACCATTAAAATGGATTCATCTTATAATATCTATTAATGATGATATTATTGTACCACCAAGTGAGTTGAAAGTTGATTGGTTATGAACTGATTAAAATGAATAAAAGATCAGCAACAGCAACTGAAAAAATATCTAAACGGAATCGCAAATTCACCAATCTTATTGTATTCCTAACTGAGCTCAAGAAATACTCAGGGAAGGAATGAGAATGAGAATAATGTTCATCGACAAATCAAGATAAACATTAATCTCATTCATCAGTGACTTTTGACTATAAACTGATCTTTGAGAAGCGAAAGTTGCTTCAATATCAGAATTTATTATCAAAGTTGATTCATTGACGCTGGTTCATCTTTGATGTCCCTTCGAAGTCACATTTTCTGTACAAAATTGTTGTTTTAAACGCGATAATTGTGAGGGAAAAGTGATGAAGATAAATTATTAAAAATAATTACACTAATGATGAAAATGTTGTAAAATGTTGCCATTTTGTTGTAAACTAAAAATGGATAAAAAACGACTGCAAATCAAATAAGCAGAAAGTGCGCTAAATCTCCATTGAGATAAGATAACTGGCAAGAATAACGCGCAACACCCTTTAGTTTTCATCTTTTCACCGAAAACTGTTGACTTATTAATATTGATAACAAAACTCTTGGGATTGACTTTGGATATGAATATTTAATGGAAACAGAGAGATGAAAATATAACAAAACTAAATGGGAAACTGACAACAATTGGCTAAACATTAAAAGTCAATGTAATGGTCAAACGCTCGTTTTTTCATCTCTAAATTTATTATGACCTGAATAAAGTTGCACTTGAAACTGACTTTAAACACCCATTAGACACCCACCAATATGTTTAACCATTTACAAGGTTCAAGTTTAAAAAATGAAACAAATTCTGTTTTCCATGAAAGAAAGGTGAATGAGAGAAATGGGATGAAATTTGTGTTGAGATATGTTTTCTTGTGTGTTTATCGTTTTACGTTTAATTGCTTGAAATTTATTCACAAGCAAATTAAAGGTACATCAAGGCACAGGTCTTAAGCCTTACGGTTATAACCAAATAATTCATTCATATTCATCTTATTCAACAGTAACCACACCTTGAGATGTGTGTTTATGTGAATCAAACATTTGTATCTCAATACGTATTTGGGTTCATTGTTGGACTGCCTCAAGCACCGTGTCCCTTCAAGGGCTCATCAAACCCTACCCTTTGTCCGCCTTCCCTTTGGCCCTTCCTACAGTGTACGCTTTCTGTCCAGAGTAAACTTCATCATCATTATTGATAATGTTCACTTGTTCAATAGCTACTGTTACTAGGAATCCAATCATGTTACCATGTTATCTAGTCTATTGGTTCATATTAATTGTCTTTCAAGGTTTGGCTTAAGGTTAGGCTTTGTTAGGTCAGTCTTTTTTTTTACCAATTTGTAACAATTTTTCTTTGCCTGCCAATTTTTATCAATGAACATTCAACATTAATTTCCTTCCATTGATGGCAACTTCAATTATAACTGTTTTAATTTATGCTTGGAGTTAATTTAGATTCTGGAAATGCTCTGTTCAGCATATGAAAGTGTCCATTGAAACTGATTGGTTTAGTATGAAAAATGAAACCATGAATACATTTATAGATTGCGTAGGTTTGTGTTGATCAGTTGTTTTTCAAATGAGTTTAGGTTTTTCTTCATTTCTAGAGAAATTGATTTTTGTGAATTTCCTTCGACAAAAATCGATGTTTCACGTGAATAGAATGATTGCTTTGCTTTGAACAGGTTTGGGCTGGAAACAGTGGAAACAAAACAATCTCTGAACAATGAACATGATTATGGTCAAGCAATAATAATGTATAAAAACTCTGTTTGATTTATAATTGGTAATTGGTTGACATGATTTAGTACAAAAGATTTAGTGGAAATAGTGAAATGGCCAGGATTCAAGGGAAGGGTTGAAATTAGTTTAATAAATCAATCAACATTCTTCACAATTAAATTCGTCATTAATTTCTTTTCACGTTTTCTGTATTTAGTCAAGCAAGCTGCATGAGCTTCAAACAAAATATCCAATCTTGCCTTTTTTGTTCTTTGTTTCGATGTGAACAAGACAAAGTTTGAGCTTTTCGTTGACCATCTTATCTACAGAGATGAACTCAAAATTCCTGAATTCATAATGAAATCTCATCGAAACTGACGCTCAAAGAAAATCTTAAAATCGTCAATTTCCAACTTCCAAAGCGTTGATTCGATGACTGCAAATATCCAAGTTATCACTTTGATGAGACTTTGAATAGTGATTTAGATTTTTGAAGATTTTTAATTTCCTTGAAAAGCTTTTAACTGGCACAGATCAATATAAATTTAAATTTGGGTTCAATTGATTTCATGAAAATTCATTGATGAACGAATTGACGATTGAACAAGATTCAGTTTTGGTTACCCTTAAGCTGGTTGTAAATGGAAACATTTATATTGATCCGGAAATTTTAAAAGTTAATAGCAGTGATAATCAAATGAATAACCTGAAAAACACAATTTTCATGGCAACTGAGCATCCATTACATGTTAATAGAATAGAACGTTTTTTACTCAATTTTGAAACTAAATTCAAGGCTGAAAATGATTAAGAAGCAACGAAACTTAGTCAATCTGATTAATGATATTAAATATTTTGGTTAATTTTTCGTTTCATCAAAAATTCAACTGAAAATGTCTCGTTTCCATTTCGATTGTTTTCAGTGTTCAAAACGTGCCGATAAAAGAAATGAAAAATCTCAATTAATTCACAATTTTAATTGTTGCTCATCAATTTGCTTTCTTACCATCAAAGTCACTTAATCATTGAAATGCTATCCGTTTGCGTGTTTCACAATTTTCAACTCAATCTGCTTCTGATTATCATTTATTATCAAATCAAACTCATAAAACACATTAAACAAAACAATAATATTCATGCTTTCCTCTTTCAGGTGAACAATTTCATCCTGATCATCCTGATCATCATCACCATCATTATCATCATCATCTTCATCATGCTCGTTTTACCTGGCTTCTGTTACCACAAAATGTTCAGAAGCTTTTTTTTTGTTAAAACTTGTTGTTCTATTGGTTTAACAGTTCAAGTTGGGATCAAGTAAATTGTTGAACATGATTGTTACACCCATTCATGGACAATTAAAAAATGAGAAAATCAACTCGCTTTTAACTCTCAAGGTAATCAAACCATTATCTCAACAATTAATATTAAATTGTTTGCATTCGTAAATTCATCTTCTCATGTTAACCACGCTATTGTCACACGCAATTGTTTAATGCAACTACTATTTTAATCGCCATCTTGACCAAATTGATCAAGGCTAACCTTATCAATCAACTATCATTGAAATTAATCAAAAGTTTATTTCAAACATTTTGATTGTTTTGTCGCTCAATTTCATTTTTAATTCCTTTCTTTCCACTTTAGCAGTTGTGTCTCACCTGTAAAACTATTAAAAATTGTGAAAATTAAAGTAGCAATCAACAGCAACAATTCATGAATCATGATCAATCAAGAAGTGATAAAGATGAAGATAAAATAATAATTGAAATTAAAATTCACATGTAAATACAGTACTTTGTATGCCTTACTCGATCCGATAAGAGTGACTCTTCTAGGTTGAAAGATTGTTGTCTCTTAGCCTCAATCAGACTGAAATTTTTTAGGCAAATAACATTAAAAGATGAAAATGGAGCTTAATAAGACGAAGATGACGATGAAGATGATAATGTTTTTTTCGAGAAAATATCTTCATTGTATGCTTGGCTCTGTTGGATCAATCAAGAAGTGGTAAAGATCAAGATAAAATAATAATTGAAATTAAAATTCACATGCAAATACATTACTTGGTATGCTTTACTCGATGCAACGAGAGTGACTCTTCTAGGTTGAAAGATTGTTGTCTCTTAGCCTCAACCAGACGCAAAATTTTTCGGGAAATAACATTGAAAGAAAGACGAAGATGAAGCTTAAGAAGATGAAGATGACGATGAAAAAGATAATGATTTTTTTTTGAAAAAATATCTTCATCCTGTGTTATGCTTGGCTCTGTTGGATTGAAAGATATGTGTTCATTAGAGTCACTTTATGATGAAGGAATGATGAAAATGAAGTGAATGTTGAGAGACTTGATTAGCATGAAAAGATGAAAAGGTCTGCAAGTTTCAAGCTGTTTTTAGTCTTTAAGTCTGACTTTTTGCTGGCTCTTTTTTTCTCTGACTTCTTCTTTATTGACCCAAAAGGGTTAACTCATTAAATGGGCTTTTTTTGTTTTTCTTGGTAACCTTATGGACTAACCAGTTGCACCAGTTAACCAGTTAATTGATCGGTAATCATAACTAAAACCTTTACAAAAAGTTGTCCGTCAGTTGACTAGAGGGAGCCACACAACAGAAAATGAAATAAAAGTTGATTTTTCAATGTTATTGAAGAGACGATTTTAAGAAGATGATTGGAATGGTGAAATTTCAGGTAAAGATGGAAGACAATGAAGAGAAAGTTTTTCAACTTTTACAATGACAATGAAAAGAAAAGATGAAGATAAATGTTGGAAGAGATGAATGGATGAGAAAAGGGAAAAGGAAAAAGGAATGTGCGAAAGTGATTGAGACAGAGATTGATGTAGTTTCATTCATTTGGTTTCTGTTCTTGTTTTCAATTGATAAGGTAACATGATTAGGTGAACATGAAAGATGATCAAAAATGATCAAATTGAGAATGTTTAGAGTACAAAAAAGAGAGACGTTTTGACAGAAAGTTACATGATGATGATGAAAATGAGAGGTCATTCTGGCAAATGATGATGATGGTGAAATGGGTTGGTTAAAGTGACGTTATTTGCTTTCAATCATTACAATTAACAGATGAAATAGCCTTTGGAATCATTGAATCATTTCTGATGGATGAAACTGAATGAAAACTCAGCATGAAAAGAAAATTTTTTGTCTTCTTCATCTTCATCATCTTTCCGATTATCCCGAGGTAATTCCAAGAACCTCTTTTTTTGTATATTCAACTAAATAGATATTTCATGTTATTTTTTTGCTGTTGTTGTCATTTCCAGTTGTCAATCATTTGGATGCTGGAAAAGGTGACACTAATCTTTTACCATGTTAATACCTGATGAGGATGATCAGGGAGGAGGTCAAGTGGGAGAGGTTTAGGCTGACAAAATATAATACAGTTAACTTGGAGTAAAATGATGAGCACTGGAAATGATTTTTGTTTCAGTTTCATCTTTTTTCCTTTTCTTCTTCTTCTTCTTCTCTAAATTATCTTGATTAATGATTGACTGGATAATGTTGTTGTTGATGAAGAGGATGATGACTATCATCTTGCTCCTTATCACAACAATAACCAACCTTGATTTTAACTAATATTTTGCTGTTAATCGATTGTAATGATTGATTAGTGTTGATCAGATTTTAGCTTTTATTTTGTTTCTTCTCCCGTTCCTTTGCTCAATATAATTTCAATTTGTCTTGGTGACTCAGGTAATCTGATTGAAACTTTTTCTTCTGCTTTTTCTTTCTTCTGAATGTCACAAATAAGTTTTACCTTGAATCAACAAGTGATTATATCATTGATTGTGAGTTTATTGGGTGTGACTTGACATTTGATTGATTATAATTAACAAAGGTTTTTTTTTCGGTTAAGGTTAGCTTCAAGTGTCATTTTAACTCCACAAAACAGATTAACCATTTTTGGCTAATCAATTGACAATTGATCAAGGTTAACTATTCACCCAAATGTTGACCGTGTTGACACTTGGATTGTTCAGTGTTTCAATGTGTAACAATTATCAGCAAAGTGGGGAAAATTGAAAGTTGTAATGATAGTTGTTCATCAATCAGAATGTTTAATGGTTTTCATTTTCAAATTGGTCTGCCTTCTTCCACTCCTTGTAATGACAAGTATTTAACATGATAAGCATAACAATTTGCATCAACCAGTAAACAATAGTGGATCAAAGATGATGATCAAGATGATGATCGAGATGAAGGATGAAAGACAAAAGTTGTATAACAAGTAAAGACTATGAAAATGTTAGTAAAATGATGGAAAAGGTTGAGACGCTTTTTTAAGACATCAGAGGATAAGCTAACTGGGCCAAGTTTTGCTGTTGCTTGTATTGATGGTTAAGAGTCAATGATGATAATAATTGAGATTGACAATGAACAGCGTTAACTTGAAGAGGATAATGATGATAATAAGGATTTAACTTGAAGCTTGAAGCTAGTGATTAAATGATGGTTTCATTGAGTAAAGATGTTCATGATAAAGGAGAGAGTAAAGTTGTCCCCAAGTGAGGCTACTTATATAACTTTATCGAGAAGTGAAAGGTGAGAAGATGATGTTGTTGATGATGGTGATGATCCTTGATGACAGAGTAAAACCTCTTAAGTGAACAAGATGAAAATGAAATCTCAAGAGAAGATAAGAGGAAAATGAAAAGTTGTCAAATAATCAATTTGACATGAAAACATTGTATCATCTCTTGACATTATCATCATCATCATAATTAAAGATTAAATGGTTGATGGAGAGCCAGAAAAAAAAGTGAATCAAATCTGGTAAGGAATTTAATGTAATCCTTTTTGTATTCTCTTGCAGATTACCAGATTAGTAGTTGTTAGGATGAAATGGTGAACGATTATAACAGCTTTGGGTAAAACCATTTTGACATTTGTTTGTGGGCAAAATATTTCTCCTTGTTTCTAATAACATCGCCATTTACTGACCATTAGATATGGACTGGGAAAGATGATCCTCCGACCAGTTTCATTATTGTTTTTATCCTCAGATTCATTATTGATCCATTTTTACCATCATTTTCAAGTCAATATCGCTGGCTTGTGTAATCAAAATACATTTAATTGTCATCATCAGGCAATCTGTAAGATAATTTTGACTCTCGCCATTATTAGTTGATTTAATATTTGATTGAGTGATTTTTTTCTCTTCTCTTTCTCTCTCTTATTTACTCTCATCATCGGACGTTGTTTTGATGTGGCGTTAAAATGACTGATGACCTTTTCTTTATCATTTTACAAAATGTAATGTCAATTGAAGCAGAAACAAGATGAACAAAATGAACATGAAAACGTCTCCTTACCTCAATAACTTTCAATGTCTTTCAAGACAAACCTATTTTTGTTGCTCTTCTTTCTCATCATCTTTTTGGCCCACGTCACTCTGCTGTTATATACCGGCGGGTTCTAATCAATAAGATTATGGTGGTGAAGGTAGTGGGTAAAGACCTCGAGATGATCAAGATGATGGTATGAGAGAGACAAGGGAGGAGGAGGAGGGGACCATTTTAAGGTAGCACCATGGGCCATTAAACATCCTATTATACAAATGCCACCAACACCATGGCCATCAGAGTTAAAGCAAGGAAAGTAAGGGAAAAAGTCCACCGACTAGCCCAAGTATTTCTTCTTCCGATACTATTTTGAAGATTATTTACCAGCCCAAGAAAGTAATCAGCTCAGGAAGATGAAGGAATGAAAGTAAGAGAGAGAGAGAAAGCATACTTTTTATCATCATCTCTATCTTGAAGAGGCCATCACGCAACGCCTTAAAATGCGGTAACCAGCAATGAAACAAGCATTAAAAGCATCAACAAGCAAAGTCTTGTTTTTTTTATATGTATTTTCCTTTTGAATCTCTTCTCTCTTCATCTTGTCTCTGTCTTCCATTGATTGAGAGTTGCAGGTAAACAGCTCCTGATTTGTTAGTTAGTGATGCGGTAATTTTTTGTTGTTGTTGTGAATGTCCAGTCAATTGATTGACGTTCAGGCCAGTCTTCATAAAATCTGAAACGGATGAGAAAAATTTGTAAGAATGATGATATAAGAAGAGGTCAACCCTCGGACAGTCGTTGGACCTTTTTGGCTTTTTCATTTTATACAATTTCTTGATCAGTTTTCTTACCTTTTTTTTCAGGTTTACACGAGTCACGCTTCATTTGGTCACATGATTTTGCGTGTGAGATTGTAACTAGAAGAGGAAGAGAAGAAGAAGAAGTTAAAGATGAAAATGGTTTATAATGATGATGATGAAGAGGAATCAAGGATTGAATATAAACACTCACATTGACCAAGTTAAAATATTTTGTGAAAAGAAAAGCAAAAAAATGAAGAGCAATATTTGCGGTTCTCTTGTTCGAGTTGATTACTTTATTTTAATAATTTTAATATCATCATCATCATCATTACCATTATCATTATCATCATCACTATTATTATGATTACTATACCAAATATAAAGTAATTTAAGGTTGGGACAGTTGAATAAATAAGAAAGAAAAATACACTAAAGAAAGGTCATCGACAGATTGTTCACTTTCACTTATTTCTGCTTTATGATTGCTGTTGGTGATGCTATTAAGTTGATCAACTTTTCCCCATTTCATCAATATAAATGTTTCCTATGATGAGACAATCACAAAATTTTAAAATAATATTACGATTAAATAACATTAACAATATTAAAGGAAATTGAAATTGAAATTAAACATTGCGGGCTTCGGTGGTTACCAAACAGCTGATGTTGAATTACAGTAACAAAAGGGAAAGATAAAAGGTAAGTCTGATTTTAATCTGTTTAATTAACAATCGACATCTAATTTTATTTATTTTTCTTCATTTATTTCCAAAAAGTTAATGCCATTAAAAATGTTAAAGAGTGCAATCAAAGGGCTATAAATCAACCATGTTAAGCAAATTAAAGGCGATTTCTGTTGGGCTACAGCAAAGAAGTAAATTTACCATCAATAAACGTAATGCCGAGGAGAATCATAATGATAAATAATTGAAGATAAAAGTTCCGTCAGCATCCGGATCAATCTGAATGGTCTTCTAAGGCTATCCTACAATGGTCACATCATGACAATCAAGCCAAGGAACAGCTATTATTATCTTCCTTTGGGAAACTAATATCTAAATCGATATCAGGCCATTGACAGACAATCCATTTTTTCATTCAAAAGACTCTACATAAAAAAAAGGTTTAAATCATTTTTTTTATCAATGAGATTTACTTTACTCTTTTTTTACACTCACCAACAGACAGAATAGTATGATTGTGATGATGATCAACAAACGTTTTCTTGTTTGATGCTATTTAGGATGTTAAAAGGTTGCTAAAGGTTTGCATCACATTTTGATGTACCAAAAAAGAGAAAGATATATTTAGTGTTTCGTTTTTTTTCATCACTTTTGAGGCAATTTTTTATTCTCCTCTTTTTGCTTCAGTCATTCATTAATTGAATCATGTTGAACATGATGTTACAGTTTTTTTTCTGCTGTTACTAAACCTATTTCATCCTTTGTTCAACCTTTGCACGTTCAATCATCATGAAGCAAGCTTTTCAATTTCACCATTAAACAGCTTTTTTGCTGTTACGATTACAAAACTATAATATATTATCATTCCATTCTCATCAACACTTTGATTCGCAAATTGTTGCATATTTAAAATAATTAAAAAAATCTTCAAATAACCTTATTTAACCCTCAGTAACTCTCAATTGAATCGCGCGCCTTTCATTGATGGACACTATTTATAATGGTTCAACCCCTTTCTGCCAACATGTGATTTGATTCGTGTGACAATCTTCTGATAACTTCTAGTCAACCTTTAATTTTCAAGATATTTCTCATTGTAATTATTATCTTAACTATTATTTTCTGAGTAATCCAGTTTTTAAATTAGTGAAATCATGTCTTGTAAACTGTTTTATACTTGTTAAAACTGTTGTTGTAATGTATTAAGTAAGTTAAGTTCAATGTTTCAAGCAGCTTTTAATTCGTCTGCGATCTTGGCTAACTCTATGCTTGGTTTATCCTTAATTTAGATTGAACACTAGTTGATCCGGTAAGTTTCATGATGAACTTTTTGATCTATACTAATTTTAAAACTGTTGATGGTTAATTTCAGAATTGGAATGTTGACTGAATGGAAAGGATATGGCAAATAAGATTTTAATCTTGACAATTTCAACTGTTAAGCGTGTTCATCTTGGTAATGAAGATAATGATAATAATTATCATCTTCTGGTTAAAATAATAATATGATAATGTAATAATGATAATGGTGATGATTACGATGATTATGGTAAAATTCACGAATTGTTTAAGGCCAAGATGAACACAAGGAGAAGGTGATGATAGACTTAAGCTAAATGGAATTAAAAGTCAACAATTTGTGTTTTACCATCAGGCTGGCTATCAGTTCAATTAGGTGCTGTTAATTATCGTCATTATAAGAAAGAGAAGAGAGTCGATTTCATGATTAACCTGATTAGCATATGATAATCAAGATGGGAAGATGAATGTAAATTCTTGTAACGATGAATAACAGTGAAATCATATTGCAATTTATAAGGAGCTTTAAGAAGTACAATAATAAGAAATAATAATTTATAATAAATAAGAAAGAAGAAGTAAATTCAAAATCTTAAATCAATAAGACGAAACCTTTGTTATTTAATTTTTATAACCAATTGGTTGTACATAAATATGCTTGACTCTATTCAATCTTGATTGTTCATGATTGAGATTATCCAAACACTTAAACATTCACCGAGCAGAACAAGAATACAAATCGGAATTATGAATAAGTAGCTCGTGAAAAATTGGACATAATTTTCACTGTCTAGTTGATTAAAACGATACAAATCAGGTTTGAATCCAATTGTAGTTTTATGTAAACATCCGAGTCTAAAGACGTCCAGAAACTTTTCAACTTGATATTTCCATTTCCATTGCAAATAGGTGTCAAGATTGCTCTCGAATAGTCTTATGTGTAAATCATAAATAGTTTTCAAGGCATCAGGAGGCAGATTTGAGTTGAATACAGAAAACAACAAGTAAACGGGGAATGAGGCATCAGATGAATACCATTCTGGCATCGGCCAGTTTGGTTCGATAGCACAATAGCTTATTCGAACTTGCTCAATCTCTTGTGGAGTTGCAATGAAAACACATTCTTCTATCTTTTTCTCTCGTCTTATTAAAACAAAGTTAAATTGTCCCAATACTTTGGCGCTTATTCGTCTCTCAATATCTCTCTTATCTTGAGGAGAAGCGTAATTAAGCATGTTCGGACATAACGGTTCTTGCAACAAATACGGAGCTCTGTCAGACCTCGCAATATCTGCCAGTGTATTAATCTTTTTGCTCGGTGCCTTAGAAGCAAGATCAGTAGTAAAGGAACCAGAATAAAGAGCACCTATGAAGAAGATTGCAATTGTGATCGACATCCAAATACAGCGCAGAGTAACTGGACAAAGAAGGTCTAATTGCGATGATCCTTGGCGTAAAATTGCACAGATCAAAGGCCATATGAGTGGCGGTGAGGCGCTTTTGTTAAGAAACTTTGATTTGAAGAACCACAGAAGGAAAGGTATTGAGAGAAGGAAGAGATAGAGGAAAGTCAAGAGGACGATTGCGTCTGAAGTGAAAATGGATAAAGATTTGAGGACATCTTCACGAATTGTGCCAATCTCGGGTAAAGCTGATGCTATTTTACAAGACACATCACTGTGCACTGGTCCTGGCGCGATTCCATCCATTGAACCAGAAAGAGTTGCGAATGGATAAGGTTTCTCACTGAAGTCAATTTCGCCACGTTGAATTAACCCAAGCAGGTCAGTGCAGTTTCCATTGGGATCACAATTTCCGTGAATAGGGGAATTAACGGCAATCGGAGTGTTATTAATCGAATCGTAGAGTCGTAACTCTTCATTCAAAAAGTCCGCAGTCCAACCATCAAATTTCTTTCGCTTAGGGTCATAAACTCCGAGTGGAGGCCAAGTAAGGAAACCGATTTTAAACTGATAATTTTTATTCATAACTTAAGATTATGTAGATTAAATCAGCTCAAGTTCACACGACGAAGAACAACTTTTGTAAGTTTTGTAAATATTTGAGAAGAATAATGTTAGAAGCTTTCAAAAAATCATTGTGAGTTGTTTGCTTCATTGGAGTTGGCCTTAAATCGGAAAACAAAACGATAAACTTTTGATTAACTGTTTTTCAATATTTGAATTACGATTCTTATGAAATATAAAAGCGAAATAGTTGTATTGATTCAAGATTACTTATTGAAATTGAATATTCATAAAGAGCAAAATAAATGTAATAGCAAAGAATTATAATTTATGGACAAATCTATCATAATAAAGATGAAATTGATTCTTATATTTTTTGGTAAATGTCTGAAATCTCATTGTTTTCATGTTATAATGATATAATTAGGAATTGAATTTGCATAAAAATTTAATAGAAATATTGCATTAAGAGTTTAATGTGGCTTTATTCATTTGGCATAATATATTGATCCACCAATATTTCAACAATCTGACCATTCAGCTGTTTCAATATTATTTCAACATAATTTCATCAGTAATAAAATTAAGAACTTTAAGATGAATTGATCCAGTCAACCTCGAACAGAAGTGTCAGAAACATCAGCATTTAAGGAAAGTGTTAAATTTTGCTTTATTATTTTGCAAAGCAATAATACAACAATCATAATAAAGATAGCACTTAGTTTTAACTCGACAATATTTTCGAAACAGTTATCGATACTATTGCTCATATGAAGTATTATGAAATTAATCATTCAGCACACAATTAAACGAAAGAAAACGCGAAAAGATTTGTTTGAGCAATTATTTTATCTTCTGGATGGATAATGTTGCTGGTGTTGATGATTTGCTGACGATGTTTTACTTTCACAGCCTAACACTCATCAACTATTGTTAACTTTTCATCTCTTTTAATTCACTTACAGATCCATCCAGTAATCACGGAATCATTCGGAATGGTGAAAATGAAAGATTGGAATTAAAATGGCAAATATTCAAAATCAAATTGTCTAAATTCACGACTCAATTGAAAGCAACTTACAAACACAAGCAAACATTCATCAACAAGATAAATAACAATCAAGTTGGTAAATTATATAAATACGTAAAATAAGATGAAATAACAAATATTAAATAATCATAATAATATAACAATCAAAAATAAGAAAGGTGATATGTAATATAAAAGGTTGTGAAGATAAAAAAAAGATGCTGTGCACCTTGTTCTGAGTATAACCACGAAATTGAGAGAATCGAGGTTTCCTTGAGGCGATTTAATACAAAATAAAAGCAACAATATAATAATATTATTATTATGATTATAATTGTTGAGAAAAGGTTTCCCTGTTTTGTTGGTTGGTTACAAAAATTGGTAACAAATGAGTCTAAAAAGCATTGGGCTCAACCTCAAATTATATTTTATCAAGAAATGGTCTTGAGTGAAATATTATAACAACTCCTTGGATGATGAGGATAATGATGATGATGAGAGATAACATGAACTGATAGTCTTCATAATCAACAAATCAACAAGTTCGTGAAGTAAACGTTTGGGTAACAAATGAGAAGAAGATGAAGATGGAAAAGTAAAAAGAAGAAGAAAAGGAATGAAAAAAAAGAAAAGAAATATCGTGTTCCTTTTTCAAGAATCATAATCTTAAAGGTTAAGAAGATGGTAAAAGGACATAACAGGTAGACTGAGCATTGTACTGAAATCTTGTTACAAAGTCGCCATCATCAGCATTATCCTCATCTTTATTGCTAGGAGAGATGTTTGAGGAATTTTCATTGATTAAAATGATACTCTTCCCGCAGGCTAATCTTTTAAATGATCAACTTAAATGGTTAACGAAAAGTGAAGGAGCCGTTGATGGACATTGTGAAACTTTCTGGTGAAACAACAAAAAGAAGGCAAAAGAAGACGAAAGGGGAAAACCTTGTTCTTCAACCCACTCTTCTTCCCTGGAATCATCATGTTGCTTCTTTTTCTCAATGAGATTTTTATCCTCTTCTCATCTTCTTGAAATGCCTGTCCTTTGGCTCACTGGAAACCATGAAAATCTTGAATAATCCTTGAACATTAAGGAATAATCAATTGACAATTAGATCCGGATCAATCAATTATACTTCTTATTTTTTCCTCTTTGTATCAAATTGATGACAACAATTTTGTTTCATCATTTTTCCCTCTCAATTTGATTCATTTGACTCAATGTGAACAAAACAATCTAATTGTTGTGTAATTAATCATCGAAATCTCTTTTATATTCAATGTTGCTGTATTTCAATCTATTTTGATTGATAATTACTCTTTACTTTTCATTACTTTCCATTCAAGTCTATTCAGTGATTAAGGTGCACTTTGCCACTTGTTAATCTTATTTACTTCATGATTATCATGAATTGCCAAGTGAATGAATAACTAAATTTGATGAAATGGACTCTTTTGTTGAACTGATAAAAAATGCCATTTTTTCATGATGAAAATAAAGTTGTAACATTTGTGGTTTCCTCCAACACCTACAAACACCATTGAAATAAGTTATCACCTTAATTTTATTCTTATAGTCAATTGTAGTTTTTGTTTAATTCAGTGGGAAGTTGGATTCAATGATACACTTAATTTTTGAGAGGTTAATTAAAGATGATAAATCATTTGAAATAATTGTCTCTTTAACTGTCATCTTGTTAATCAATGAGAGTAAATAAAAGCAGTTAAAATGGAGTCGAATAAATCAAGTCTCATTTCATGATCATCAACATTATTCAATTGATAATGAAGACTTTTTATTTCAACAAGTTGTTTGTGAAAAAAACAGATCGCTAATTGAGTGAAATAACATTTATTTTTGTTTTAACTAATCATTAGTTGATGGCTTTTTTGATAATGATGGTGATGAGTATGATAAGGAGAGCATTAAATTGATTGTAATCAAGGTTAAGGTTGATATAACAAAGTCACCAAGCAATTTGTATCAGGTAAGATTAATTGTAACTTGTTTATAAATGTGATTTTGGTAAAGTTGTCAGCTCAATAGACAACTTAAAGTGTAAAAATGTTAACCTTCCTTTTTGCTGCTTATAAATATCCAAAAACTGGTTGTAAGTGTGTAAATTATTGAATAATTTACAATTTAATTCCATCTAAATGGACGTCAATTAAGAAGTACAACTTTTTTATTGATTAATCAAAAATTAAAGACAAGGCGAGTTGATTTTTAATTTGCATTTACAAGCATAATTAGAAGACGGACCCTGAAAGTTGTCACCTGTTTCCCTCCATTAATCTCAATGCGGTTGCCTTTCCTTAGAGACAATTTAATTGCCCCAACAGTAATTCATTTTTTTAAATTTTCTCATTTGATAATTCAGTTTTTCTTCGATTACTACTGTCACTGAATCATCTTTATCATCAATATCTTCACCCTTTGATTTAAAGTATAAGTGATATCAAAATGTTTGGAATGGCTTGTCCTCTCAACTCTTATGAAACCGTTTCATTTCCTTGGCTCTTTGTGACTGGATATTTATAACGTGAAAATGTGATATTATTCAAAATTGTAAGCTTAACTGGTATTTTGATTAATTTAAATTTAATTTTTATCTCTCGATATCGTCTCAAAAACGTTAATAACAGGATCAATTGGAAAGATGTAATCGTTGGCCAAATACCGCAATGATGAACGCCAAAAGTGAGGAAAATGTTGACTCTTAACTTGCAAAAATGATGGTTAAGCCTAATTAATCCATTAACATGAGACAAGACACCGTGAAATGGATATTCAAACCGTTGTTTTATCAATGAAAATGTTGGGATGAAATGGATATTTGTTAGCTTCTGAAGTGTATGGTTTTCTTTTGTTAACGCTATTTAAAGTGATTTATATTTTGTTGCAAATGCATCGAAACTTAAATATTCATAGTCAAAGCTATTTGAGCAATTAACAGTTAAAAAACACAAAGTTCATTTATTTTTTACCTTTTACTTTCACCATAAATCATCAACATCAACAAGCAGAAAGAGAGACTTTTCAAGTGATTACAATTCACATTTTGTTTTGTTTGCTGTAATATTATGAGTTGTGTTGTCACTGGCTCAAAAAGCCATTGCTTTATGATTTATTTGAATTAGTTTTATGTATATATCATAAAAAATAAGGAACCAAATAGGATAAAAGTCTTGCTAGGATAATTATATTTTTAACTATGATATTGTTTTAAATTCATTTGCACGAATCTGACCCTACAAATGGAAAAGGTCAAAGCCTTGAGCATTTACTTTTTTCTTAACCGTTTACAAATATTTCACTAATTTGAGTCCAGTCAAGTCTAGTTAATAAAAATATCCAATATTTCTTAATTTGATAATATCAACAGAGCGAAAGTTGAATGAAGATGAAAGATTCTTGTTGAGTTAACTCCATCACTAAGTTATTTCCTCATTATTATATAATATAAAGGTAAAAGTTGAAAGTTCAAAAAAGCCAACCTAGACATTAACTATTCTCTTTTTTTTATTGTAATGGGTTCCAAGGAAAATCGGGTTTACCTGAGGCTGTTAACCTCAATCTCTATGGGAATCCTTTTTTCTCAGTTTCCAGATTTGAGTTGACATCGCAAAGATGTCCTGATAGCAAGCTCACACTGTGAACACAAATTATTTTATTAAAGGTCAATAGCTTCGTTTTTCACTTGAATATTTAACTTTTCCTTTGCAACAGTTTAAATCACAATTATTAGCTGCAATTGTATTCTCGTTAACTTGCAATCACCTAATCATTTTTTCTTCTCTTTTTACAGGTAAAACCTCGCTAAGTAACTCTCTCTTCGGTTGCAAATAGAAAGTCTTGTATTTACACTGACAATGAGGAGAAACCAAAGAAATCGGTAAAGCACAAGATTAACAAGATTGGAAAATTTGGAGGAAAAGAGCAAACATGGAAGCTGATCACAATTAAAATTAACCACGTATTGAATATAATAGTAACAATAATCATAAGGGAATTGTTGAAGGTTGCTTAAGGTCTTTCCATCAATATTAACCATTTGTCTTTTGGGATTATTGGTTGTATAAATTTTCATTTAACCCTTAAAAATCAAGTTATCATAAGCTTATTTTCAGTTCTACTATTATTATTGCTACTATTATAACCATAACTATTGCTGCTATTATTATTGCATAATTTACCACACAATTGTTACCAAAAAGCATATTAATAACTGAAAAGGTTGAGTAAAAGTTATTCAAGAGCAGCGCAAGGAGGGAAAAGTAGGAGACAGACATTGATGTTACTCTTATTTTATTTATTATATCAAATTATTATGTGTTCAGTTGAGTGTCTTATGCTTTCAAAGTAACAATGAGTGGTTAATAAGGTTTGATTGCCTTAAAATAATTAAAGGACGACCTTTATTTTTGTTCCTGTAACAGCAATGATTATGATTGTTAATATCTAACTAAAGCAAGCAGCCTGCCAAAAAGACCGCCTTTCAATCAAGTTATCTCCTCATCTTCATCATCACCACCATCAAGAGCAACAGAAACATTATTATTATTATTATCAGTATCATGATAAAATGCTGAACATCGTTCCTGATTAGAAGACAAAGAAGAATATTAAATGAAGGTAAAAGCCAAATGAGATTAACATTCATAACTAGAGGAAGATGAAAAAAAAATGTTGGAATTGCTTGTTAACAGTTGATTATCTTTGGCTTATCGTGATATGGATTTTTATTTCAATGATATCCCTTTCAACCTCATCATTTTCACCAACATCTTTACTCTTTTTTTTCTGCTTCCTAGGTAATATTGAAAGCTTTTTAACCTTTTCCTCTCCATAAATCAATTTAATTCAACAATGATCATTATAATTAACATTGTTTTTGTTTCCCTTGAACAGATCCTATGAACAAGAAATCAACTCAATGCCAATATTATCATCAACATGAAGATAGTTTATTGTGTCTGTGTTTAACCTGTGAAACAAAAATTATCAAGGAAACCCTGGCAGTTTGAATGTAAGAAAAGGATGGCCGAAAAAGGCTATTTTGCTGCTGACCTTATTTCTTATCCCTAAAATTATCATCTCAATGGTAATACTAAAAATAATAATTTATGTTATGACAATGATCTGTATGTAAAAAAATATCCATCTCTCTGTTATTTACATTTGCAAAGGTGGAAACATGTTGGGTCAATGGGAAGCTTCAATGCTTATAATATCAATAAATATTGAATACTCTCATCATTATATGTAATCATTATTTTCATCTGCAAATCTATCATTTTCAGGTTTTCTTTGCAAACCAATCAAAGTTTTGTCATTTGTTAATCAACAGTAATTTCAGACTGATATTTGAAATTAAGTTTAACTACATTTTTCAGACGCAAAGAAACAAATGACCTTTTCAAAGATTGACTGAAAAATCGGAAAATAAAGGTTGCAAAAGTGTCTCCAAATGTGAATGATGACCAAAAATTTGTATTGTCTTGAAAATTACATTTGAATTGGATACAATTCACGGTAAGTTTGTTGATTATTGTAAGGTTCAACAGTAGAATGGACAAAACAAAAAAATGTTGCTTCCAAAGCGAAACCAAAGTTGAAAAAAAAGAGATGAGATTTACTCGAAAACAAAGCAAAAAACGATTTAAAAGAAATGAACTTTGCCATTCAAATGAAGATGGATTGATCTATCATTCCAATGATGATATTTTCATCTTGTTCCATCATTGAAAGTGTATTTATTTAGTGATCATCACGAAATATCTTTTGTCTGTCAAAATTACTACTTTGTCTTCCAAAATTGAAACTGAAGAAAGAAGAGAAGAAAAAAAAAGATGAAATGAAAAGAATTATTTGAACTGAAGCAAAAATTGTTATATTTCTCAATCATCATTTACCTTTATTATTATGTATTATCAGTCTCTGTCATCGCCATTAGCAAAGTTGGCCTAATTATTTTGTGCCAAAATACAAGCGTAATTTGAACACATTTTGAGTATTGAAAATTATTATCATTATTAGCGCCATTGTCTATCTGCATTTCCTCTCAGGATTCTTGGGATGATTATGTTGATGGTGATTTTGATGGTACTGGTGATGGTGAAAAGTGATGAAAAGCAATTGAAGGAATAGCCGACAATTACTTACTCTAAATTGTATTGAAGGTCAGGAAAGGTCAGTTCATTTGTTGGCTAGTCTTTTTTTTGTATTTTGTTACCTTAGCAAACTAATTTTTGAATGAGTTTTCAAGGTAAAGTAATAACAAAATAGTTACCTTCTCGAAGTCCATAAACTGTAAATTACTTTGCAATATCAAGTTATAGTTTTTTTACCTTTTTTGAACACTATTTTTGTACTGATAAATAAAATGTATTAAATAAAATAAAGTAAGAAGATGGTTTATTGTTGAAGGAATGTCAATTGAAAGTGATGATTACCTTTGTAAATATGAACCCAAAAATGAATGAGATTTTTGTGAAAGTAATGTAAGGGAGGAAAATAGTGAAGATAATGTTGATGGTGATGATGATGGTCTTGGTGATGTTAATAGTGATGGCGATGAAGAGGAAGATGACCCGAGTGATGAAAGGTGATGATGTTTTTGGCTCCGCTTTTATCCTTTTTTTACAACAAGCAATCACATATTGCGTGTAGGAGAAACATTAACAACATTGATTAATATTGGTTACTATTGGCTGCTGGTTAAAAAAAATGATTGCATTTTCAGTTAACATGATGAAACATTTCTACTTCATCTTGTCAATGAACAGGCAAGATGATAGGAAGAAGAAGAAGAAAAATGATAAAATAAATTTTCACAAACAAATCAAATTTTCAATATACATTTCTGTAGCAGTAGCAATCATGTGTTTTCTCACCGTGTTAGGTTGCTAAGCCTGTAAAAAGTTGATTTACCTTTTATTTCAAGCTCAATGATGACATTGCCATTTAACAATCTTCTCTGTTTAAACACATTAATTTCACTCAAATTAATTTAGATCAACGCTAGATTAAATAGATTAACTAAATAGATTTCTTTCAAATTATTAATCAATTAACTTGCTTTGAAAAATTACCATCTCAGCATAATTAACAAACAACCCCTTACACATTAGTCTTATGTAGTCCGATCGTTATCTGATCCGTAACTGATCCTCAACTGATCCTCTGTTAATTCCCATTGTTTTCAAATTAATGTTTTATTTGACTAATTTGTTGTTGGTTCTGTCAGTGAATTAATTAATTTTAATCATTCAACATGGTAGCTGTCAAATCTTACTTGTTTATCAATCTGTCTATTGGAACACAATTTGTGCAATACTCAACACTGGTAATGCTTTTTTAACATCAAATTTGGTGACAAGATAATGGACAAGCCAACTTGCAGGATTTCTGATTAACTAATCGTCATTTAGCTGAGTGTCTGTTAGTTTCATCGATTTAAATTCCATCTGAAATTCATTTTAGAAATTCTCAATTTTCTTTCTTCCTTATTTAGGTTCCTGTTTATCATGTAATAAGTCTGATGAAACTCAAGATTTGGCTCTTATCCAACCTTTGCTGACCCAAGACACTGATATGGATCATGTATTGAAAATTATGAAATTTTGGACAATAAACAATCCTATTGGTTCATTGAAGCATTACATGCTGTCTTGACAAACAGACCGAACGTAATCTAGCCGGGAATCAATGATGAAAATGGAACTAAATTTGGTCAGCTTTATTCAAACTGAAGAGTAATGAACTGATATTGACTCTTAAATCACTTTTATTGTGATATAATGTGATTACAATTCAAAAATTGAAATGATTATATTCAAAGTCGCAACGAGAGATAACCAGTCTGGTCAGATTATACAATTTAAAAGTTTCCATCTCTTCTACCGTGTCAATGTCTTTTAATAATTTTGATGAAAACACTTTTGCTTCTGCATCTTTAATATCATTCTTACTCACTTGATTATTTATTTTTCCTATTGTTTCTCTGCTTCCACCGCCATCATCATGATCATCAACATCATCAAGCCCACAGTTTCCACCTTAATTGTAACTAACCAGCCAACTAGGAGTGTCAAGTCCACATTCCAAGTCGCACCATCAATCACTATCAACATTGAAATATACAAACTCAGTGAAACAAACTATCCTGTTATAATAACTCTTATTTTATCAGAATAAAGAGGAAAAATTAAAAACTGAAGATGATGAGAGTGAGAACGATGATGATAGAGACAAACCTTGCTTGCTCAATTGATATAACAACAACAAAAGCTATACTCATTAGCACTTTGTTATTCACCCAATAAGCCTCTCATCAACATTAACAATTTTTATCCTTCTTTTTACAAGTAAAATAATCACAAAAATAACAACACAATATTATTATAAATGATAAACATACATAATCATAATCATAATAGCAATAATAATAAAATAATGTTCAACTAATCAAAGCAAAATATTAATTCATGGTAAAAAAAGGCCAAACCAAACCCATGAAAAGCCATCAAATATAAGAAATTTATTTTCAAATTCAGGTCATGTTCAGTGAAATGTTGATGAAAAGTCACCCAAAATTATCATGTTAAAAATGTTTAAGTTGATTCCATGGTGAAACTAGACTCTAAAATTGATACTGAATTATGTTGAAGAGTTAAAATTGTTGATAGATCATAACAATTGAATGAGCAACAATAACAATTGTAAACAATTTGCTGTTAAAGGTTTCCTTTCAATCTTAAACCCTTTTCACTTGATCCACTTGAACCAAACAAACTGTTGCTTTTGCCCATTTTTACCTGGCAACAAATAATAGAATCAAAGTTAACCTACAATTAACTGTAGACTATTTGAAAAGGCAAATGTTAACTGCTATTGAAAATTTACTGTCAAAGGGTAAGACATTTAGCAAAAGGCAAAACAAAACAAAATTAAAGGTAAAGTTAACAAGTGATTACCTTGAAACTGTCAAACTGTACATTGAATAGTTGCGGTTAAATGTTTCTCAACCTTTCAAGAGTTTCAAGTGGTTCATTGTTATTGACCATTGATTATCATTATAAAAATAATCATAATGATCATAATCATTGCTATTATTAAAAGGTTGTCATTTTGTTAACCTTGTTAATGTAATTCCTGTTGTAAACTAAATGTCACTCAAAACATAGTTAACTATCAATTGACTTTGACGTCTATTGACCACATTGATTAGTACCAATTAATGGAGGAGCAATTGAAAGGTTGATTAACGTTTAAAACATTGAATAGACAACAATTAAGGAGACAAACAAACATTTTTAAACCCAAAAGGCAAACAAGAAAAGAAACAGCAGAAATCACCTTTTCCCTTTTAACCATCTCAACTCTTGATTATCACAATTGAATAAGATGAAAGAAGACAATCAAGTTAAACGGACAATTAACAAAAATCTTTCTATAATTGAATGAAGACCAAAAGATGAACAAAAAGTTGCGCCAAATTTGAACTTAAAAATAGAAATAAAATTTTCGATAAAAAAAAGGTTTTTAATTTACTCTAATTTAAAGGCTAATCAATTTACCATTTTTGATCAGGTTTATTTCATTGAATAATTTTATCCGTTGAGAGCTGTAAGGCAATTGAAGATAAAAAAGAGTGCGAAAGTGATGAGGTTTTACAGGTAAAAATGGTTGAATGAAATTCAAGGTAAAATTTTGTTACTTTCAGAGTTGGTTGCTTTAAACTCAATGTTACAACTGTTGAGAAGCTTTTCATCTTTATCTTCATTTTTTACCTTTTTATTCAACTTACACTTTGAATCTTTTATGCTTAAACGAAATACTTTTCACTCTGTAAAAGTAACTGCATTTAAAATGGCAACAATTAAGATTGAAGTTGAAACAATTTATGTTTAATAACATTTACCGACCATTTTGATCCATTCACTTGTTATTAATATTTTGCTCATTTGGTTAGTTAATAACGAACGTATAGATGGCGCTCGATTAGCAATTGTTTTTGTTTTGGTTTTTTGATTAAAACCTTTTCTTGATTTGATTCATTTTTTGATGTTTAGTTTTTGGTTTTTTGTGCTTTGATTGTCTCTTTTCACTCGTCTTGTCAGTTGTATTTTGATTCATGTTTATCTGGTCATGGTAATGAAACCTGATGGATCCAAGTGAACCTGATTGTATTGTTATTAGAGACGGCAATTTGATTTGATGCTTGAATGGCAAGTGTAAATCAGTTGGGCCAACAATTTGGTTGTCGTTAAGTCAACCTCACGATTCTCGGTGTTGTTTTGTTATTCTTATATCAACCACTTTTACTTGATAATTTCAGTTTTATTGTTGGTGTTGAGTTATACGCACGAAACTGTCCATAACAACAATAAATTGTAATGAAGATCATCTTTTGATCAACAATTTCATCTTCACTTGTCCTGAAGTGTCAATTTGATGAGGTAAAAGGATGACAAGGAAGAGCATGGAAAGCTTTAAGTATATCAAATGTTGATGAGAAACAAAATAGCGATGAAATTTTGATTAAAGATTGTTTCAGTTTTGCTATAGCATTAAACATCAAACCATTTGATTGTTTCAGTTTTGCTATAACATTAAACATCAAACCATTTCACGAGTTAAAACTTTTTAATTAACATTGATTTCAATTAACACCAAAAACCAATGTTAAGCTCAATTGATTCACAATCTTTAATGGGAAAAGCTTTCATGTTCAACTCAACTCATTACAGGTTTGGAGTCTCAATGTTTGTTTAATATTTTCCCATGACTAAAGTTTAATCAAAGTTCAATTAACAAAATGAGCATCGGCTTATTTAGCAATATTACCGTAACAACAACTGAAACAAAACCACAAATCTTAATCACGAAACTTTCATGACAAAAGTAATGAACACTCATCAGAAAAAAAGTGTCATCAAAACAGTTTCATTGTAAAAGTTCAAAGTCAAAACCTCAACTTAAAATGCAAGCCATTTGAACAGTCGAACCCGTTAAGACCCAAAAGACCCTTAAAGGTTATCTGATTCTTGAGTTAAATCAAAATTCAAATTGTTCCAGATTAGTTCCGAAAAACGCTTCGATTAATTTTCCAAACCAAGGAAGTCAAGACTTTGCTGAAACATTGACTTCACAATGATTCTGGAATCGCACTGATTCTTAATGAACATTTGAAACAAAACCTGGCACTCATTGTGATTATCTTTGCGACATTCATGACGATAAAAAAAACTGAATTGAACAGTTCGTCTCAGGCGATGATGAAAATTTTGAAGTTGAAATGACGTTTGTTTCACGTTGGTTTTGCGTTTGTTTGCGTTCGGTTTTGAAAGTGAAATGTGATTTTTTGGAATGGAAACAAATGATCTGATGATATTACATGATAATCGGTAGTTTTTGCTTTCTGATGACAAATTTCATTCCTTTTTCTTGTTCATCTTCTCACTCAGCCTTTCATCTTGTTTCATCATAATGTTCATCTCACTCTCTTATAGGCGGTTCCAAGTAATACTGTGGGCTGGTTTGTGTGTGTGTCTTCATGTTGATCACTTGAAGCTGCGCAGCTTTTTTTTGATTCACCAAAAGTGTGCAAATCATGTTTGATGTTGATCAAAGTAAAGACCAAAACTGATACCAAACAACAACATTGTCACACAATTTAACCTTAATTGTCTTCCTCTTTCTAATCAGTGCATCTTGTGTCTACCAACTTTACTAGTGATTAACCATCATCCAGTGAACTTGACCAAACTGAGAATCTTGAAAAGTCGGAAACAAAAAATTCAATTGCAATTTCGTTACATCAATGGTTACGTTAATTTGTTGACATCTTTAATCGTCTTTACAATGATTTTGTTATTTATTGATTTGTAATTTTCATTTGGATTTATCAACTTTGGCCATTTACCGATTGTTTTGCTCGTTGCAACTTCAACTTCGTTAATTTACTTGCAATCAACTAATTATTGACGTGACTTGCACCATTTAAATGTTATTGTTGCAACAATTTAACTCAAATCAACTGATCAACTAACCAATGGAATTATATTGAACAAAGTTTTCACCAATTGTTCATCTTAATCATCATTGCCAAGGAATTAACTGAATCAAATTAATACCAATGACCAAGAACAGCAAGGTTGGTTTAAACATCATTTTTGTGTGTTTTCATTCAAAGGCTTAATTTGGATTCATTGAAACTCTTGTTTTTGGATAATTTAATTTTCCATTTTTTCCTCTTGAATTTTGTTCATCAAATTAGTTTAAAAGTAATTATACAAATTATATTTTCTGTTTCAATTGAATTGTGGATCAGAATTCTGTTGAATTGTGCTTATAAAAGTTGATGGATACTCTGAATTACTCTGGGAATTGTTTGGAAACTTGTTTTCATGACAAGAGAAGAAGAAAAAAAATTCCTTATCATGATATTCAGAGAAGATGAATAAGATGATAACAATGAGCTTTTTGAAGGATGTAAAAGATGAAATAACATCAATTTTGAGTGTGATATTCACGACCATGGATCAACAATGGTGAGATGAAGAAAAGATGAAAATGTTGCCAAAAAAAGAGGAAGATGAATGGAAATGATGAGAATGATAAAGATTGTCAAGTTTGAAAGACAGCTATAAATCTGTTTATTTGAGGTGAAAATGTTGAGGTTCACTTTGTTCAATATTATCATGACTTATCATTGTATTATGATTATGAAAAGATGAAGGTAAAGATGAACATGCTGGTTAGGATTGATGATGATAGGATGAAGAAGACAAAGTTTATTGTGCTAAAAGTGAATGAAAATGATGTGAAATAATGATTGTATGTGTGTGTGTTTTCCCGATAATTGAATATGTACTTGTGTGTGTGTGTGTTTATTGTAAGTGTATACAGTTAATGTGACATTTGCGTGCAACAAATCTGTTATCATCAATGGTTTAGTGTAACCTTTAATGGTTATCATTACCTTTAACAGTTTATCAAAAGGTGTAAAAAGACATTCACTGATTCAGAGCGAACACTTTTTTCACACCTTTTTCAATTGAACAACACCATCATTATCATCATCATTATGGTTGAAAGGACAATAATAAGGCTTGTAAGGAGACAAAAACAGAGGATTGATTGGTTGCTGAGAGTTATGAAGATGGAAGGATGAAGATGAAAATAATTATCTACTTTGATACTTTTTTTTGCATTTTTCTTGTTCTTCTTCTTCTTCTGATATAACTTGAGTTTATTCATTAATCATTTAAACATTAGTCCAAGCTGTAAATGGATGTCATCGAGTAATAACTTGTGGTTACAAGGGTAACACCATTATTTTGTAAAATTATAAGGATGATGAACATGGTGGTGATGATGATGATGGGAGATAAATGTCGCCCTTAAGTTATCATTATTGAGATTCGCCGGAGCATCACTAATAACCTTGTTTAAAAGACAACCTAATTACATATAAAAGACAATTAATTAATTTTCGCGTCTCAAGCTTTTTGTTTCTCCTTTACTAAAACCTCTCATGTTTAACTTTTAGATGCTTGGATGCTTGACTGTGATCATTTTTTTTACCTTGTGTTTACCTTTAGGCAACACTTTTACATTATTATCATCCAGGTAGGATGAACTGATGATTAAAAAGATGAAATGGTTAGGGAAAGAAAAATTGTTGAAAAAATTGATTAAAAAAAATGAATCAAAATTAGCGGTTGAATGTTGGCTTTTGTCACACTCGTCTAAGAGGCTAAGGTAGAGGTTGACTTTATGCAGAGACTGTCACTCTCTAGGTTGATATTGTTGCTCTTGATTAGGGTAAACATGAGATGAGATTCATGTTCAAGTTGATGTTGATGATGATGATGATATGACAGGATGAAAATGATAAGGTGGGACGGATGAATGGTTTGTCTTGTTACTCATGTCTTGCGGAGAAGACAGTGGGCGGAGTTGGAGGATGAAAGGTTCAAGATGAGGAAAGAGGAGAGACACAAATAGACAGGAAAAGACAGAAGATGCAAGACAACACTTTTGTCTCTTACTCTATATGGATGATATCTCTTTCTAGACCTATACTTTTATGATCTGACAACAAAGATGATGATGACAAAATGATGTTCTCTTTTTTTCTCGCCATCTTCCTCTTTCATTTAATATCTTTATCCTTTTTTTTACTCTTTTTTTTCATCCATCTTTTGTTACTTTGTAATGCAGTTCGTAATTGACATGAGGTCCCTTTTTTTCAACTTGTCACATGACTTTAAAGCTTGCCTTTTTGTGCTCATCTTTTGGCTTTTTTTTGTCATTTTACTGTTGATTTATTGATTTGTACTTTATTTTTGTTGCTTTATTTGTATTTAATTTGTTGTTTATTCAATTTAATGTTGTTCACTTTCTATTCCCTGTCTACCTTTTACTTGCTTTATCATTTTAAAGTCAACACTTGATGTTGTGTTGATAATGGTTACTTTTTTGCTACCTCACGATTTGACTTGAAGTGAGAGAAAGACTGAGAATATTTTGGTGCTAATGTTTGACAACATTGAAAACCTTGGACCTGGTAACAAGCTACATGTTACCTTTACCTTTTTTTTCACATTAAGGTGATTAATGAGAATGACGTTGACTCTCTCCTTCTCTCTATCCATCTTTTCTCACTATTTTTTACTTTAACGATGTTCTCGTGTCTTTTATCCTGTTTATCTTCTTCCCCATGTTCATCTTTTAGCTGTTACTATCACTTTTGGCTTTCTTCTTGTTCTTAAATTTTACTCTTAAAGCGGATAAATGTTGATTCTACTCTTGTACACTTTCTCCTGGTTTTTATCCCTTTCTAAATTGATAATGTATCTCGTGTGTGTCCCAACCCTGTGTTTATATTAATTAATCTCTACTTTATCTCATGGATTGAGACTGGCAAACCAGGGTCAATTGCATCTCTCTTGCTCCATCCTCATTGTCAATTGTGGTTAATAAGGCAAACAACGAGAAGACTACATGAACACCAAGGGACAGAGATTTACATGGAAATCTTGCAAAAAGATTACCTTAAGGGCTTTTAATGTAAATATGTGTACTTACATATGTGTTTGAGTCTTGTTAATCAATCAATTTACTAATTTGATTTTATTCTCCTTTTTTTGGGAACAAATTTTCCTTTTTTTCTCTCTCTTCTAAAGTTAACCAAGTGAAATCAAGTCTCGAATTTAGTCTCAAGCCAAAAACAGAAACTCATAGGGAGCAATGGTGAAAAACAGAGAAGAGCTCAAGTACAAGAAAAGACCCAGACCAAAAGAGTCCAGCAAAAGAGAGAGAGAAGGTTACTGTGAAATAATTTTTCATGCCTCTAGCCTCGCCTTGTCTTGTGGTCACCGTGGTTTATCATCATCATGATCTTCATGATCATCATGATCTTACTCATCATCATTATTATATCAGAAATGCCAGCCCAAAGAGATTGTTCATCTTCTTGTTCTAGGCCAAGCACCTCTCATCATCATCATGTTTCGTGTCCTTGGGTTGATTGGATTCGCTAGTAAAAAAAAGAGGAAAGCTAAACAGACATTATAACAACAAAGTCTTACCTGGCTTTGTAGTTAATTTGGCTTTTTGTCTTAACAAACACAGTAAAAGCCCACAGGGGTTGATGTCGTTCCTTCAAGACACAAGAGAGTGAGCTTTAAAGGTCCCCATCCCCATGTCTTTATTTCAAGTCAGCCAATATTACTGATCCGCCCAGCAATAACAACCTGACATTCTTTGCTTCCAAGCTTCAGACAGTGAAAAGAAGAAGAAAAATACATCAGCATTAAAGTGATGGGGAGGAAAAGCAAAAAGCAAAAAGGAAAGAATGGAAAAGCCTAGTTGCATAAGCTGCATTTCTTGTAATATGATGTTAAAACCATTTTAGTGATGACCTAAAATAAGTGGTTCCTCTGCCGGTTACCGCAGTTTTTATCCTGTAAAAGTTAGTAAATCCTGAACAGTAAAAGCGAGAAGCAAAAAGATGAAAGTGAAAAACCAAGTTTGACCAGCAAGGATGTTGGTGATGCATAAAATGAAACCGACATCACTTTCTTGTTGCCTTTTTTGTTCCATCTCATCATCACATTCAACATCTTCTGTCTACTTTCACCATCTTTTCTCTCTTTTCCCTTTCCTTTTTTTCTTTCTTGATTATCATGATCATTGATGCTTGATGTATTATCACCCCAAAGGGTTCTCTCATCTTCCTTTTTTTTAACATCCATCTCGCGATACGCTTCAAGTCTATTGCAATAGACTTGGGTGCAACCTCCTCATCACCCTTTGTTTCCCTTTTGATAGCCTCTTGTTCACTTTTTCATTTATCCTTTCCCTTGCTCTTTCTTTCTCTCTTTCTCTCTCTTTTCCTGATACCATTCCTCAAGGGGAATGAAGGGCAACAAATAAGCAACACCACCACCATCAACCCTTATGATGACCAACTATTTATAAACTGACCGCGGTCATTGCCGTCAATGGAATCAAAACCTCGAGTGTGTCTCTTGAAATAGCTCCCAAAGGCTATCCTTTATCCTTTTTATATTTAAACACAACTCTATCCTTTGTTGTTTATTATCATTATTATATTGTTGATGTTTTTCCTTGATTGTTCATCTTGTAGCCTCTCCAACTTCATCCATTTTGTAGATTATTGTTTTCTTTCATTTACTCAGTCACAAAATATTCACCTCACTAACATCCTCATCAGCCTGCATCGTCAATGAGATCAACAAAATGATTTTCACTCTTTTATGGGCAACAATTGAACCAATATCAATGAGACATTGGCATCAACATATTACTTCTCATTCACATTGACAGTCAATGAAGACAAGTCAATGTCTGATGATGTTTATTACAGTACATTAACTGTATCCCAATTGATCACTAATTTATCAACAGTAGGTATGAATAGTAAAAAAAAGCTGACAAAATGAAAAATTACCAAATGATTTAGAGATGATGATCATGAAAAGCCAGCCATTTACTAATTCAATTTTACGTGCAAAAAAAGCAAGATGTTTAGGAAGGTTGATTATGAGAAAAGCGCGATTGGCCACAATCAATTGTTGAAGCAAATTATCAACGTTTGAATTACAATTGTTTTTCGCTTTGTTTGTCCATCAAATTATCATTTGTTTGTTTGCATGTTGCTTGATATAACTTTTTGTTTTCTCACCAGCAACACAAACAAACCAAATGAAGGTTCATCTGCGGCTTACGCCATTTTTACGCCAATCATTTTGACTCAATAACTTTGTAATTGATGTTGTTAACTTTGCTTTTTTTTGCAGCCTAAAGATTGATAATAACAAAAGAGACACCTCTAATTATAAGAGTAAAGAGGAGGAAGATGATAATGATGATGGTGAAGAAGGAGGAAACTAAAAATGAAAAACAAGGATGATCCATTGTAAATATACACTTTGCCAATTAATAGTTATAATTGTGATTACAACCTCAGTGGGCTGAATAGTGTCAATTGAGCAAAGTGTTTGCATGTTAATGGGTGAATGTGGATGAACAAAATGAGTCGACAATGAAGTAAATGGATTTCAATTTTCAAGACAAAACTAAATGAGACCGATCATTGATTATGATGAGCTTGATGATTAAGTTTGATTCATTGTTTCTTCTCTGTTTTTCTTGTTCTCTTTTCTGTTGCTAGCTAATCCGATTTCATGTTGAACGGTAAAAAACAAATACAGTTGATGATGATGATGATGAGTAGGAAGATGAGGCTACAAGGATAAAAGTTACAAGTAAAAGATGATGAGGAGTGAACAGGAAAAGACAGAGAGTAAACTAGATAAATGAATGTTGATATATCTTTTCACGGTTACATTTACACAATTTTTATCTCACTTTATCCAGGCTCACTAACTCACTCGTTGACAAATGACACTGACAAGAGGAAAAAAATGATGATGATCATTATCATCATCAGCCTGATGAGTGCAAGGTAAACTTGCAGGTTGAAAGCCGATTAATTGAGTGAAAAGTTGATTTGAAAAGGATGACGAGAGAAGGGAAACAATTTATCATTTGATTAGCCGTGTTGCTATAACCTGATTGTTGTCAATTGTTGAACACATAATCATAATGATAATGCTAATGATGGTTAACTTCAGGTCATCATTCAGAGCAGCAAGAAAAGCTTCCAATGTCATGTTGATCCTGAAAAATGGTTTACTCTGAGAAATGAGAAGAAGCAAAAAAAAGATGAAGAATGAAAAAAACAACTTAACCATTGCAATTGATTTTCAATGTTATAATCAAATTGCAAGATGAAACTTGAACAAGAAATTTGAACCATTTTCTCAACAAATGTTGAACTTGATTTCAATTATCAATATAATTATGATAATGAAGAGTTAATTATGTAAAAACAATTTTCTCTGTTATTGATAGCAAACTGTAAATCCATGATTCTTTGTCATCTATTATTTACAGATAAAAACAGGAACAGATGATGATGATCGTCATCATCATGAAAACAGTTACATTAGTGGTCAAGAACAGAAGCTTCACAGCAAAGGGAATCAACTTATTTTATTTAAGGCAACATTTCACCTTCACCTTCATCATGTTCCTCTTCATAATCATCATTTTGCTTGTTCTTATAATCTCATTTTGTTGTCCTTCCAATGTTTCCACCGAATATAAATTGCTATTATTGTTACAGCTAAAAACTCCCAGATGCTGTGTTCAATATAAGAGCAGCCAAATAATGATAATAATTTTATTATTATTACAGTTAATAATGTGCCTCAACGTAAGTCCAGTTGAGCCAACTAATGTGTTAGTGAATGCACTTTAATCAAACAATAATTAGGATCACTCAAAGTGTCACAAGTGAAAGTGTAAGATGAAAATAAATGATATAAAAGTATCTTTTTAATCACACAATCACATAATTTTGCCAGTAAACAATAACCATTTTTATTAACACCAATCAACGTATCAAACTTGTCTACCAATTGACTAGCAAATTGATTACCAAAAGGCAGCAAATTAGTTAATAAAGTGAACCAGAACCAGAAAAGGTTCAAAGCAAATCAACAATAAAAATGAGCAAAATTGCTTTTCTCGCAAATCTTCCCAAAACATTGAATTTACCCAAAGAAATTTACAATTTTTTTCTCAATTACAATTTAATTTTAACCCTGAAATTGTAGCCATTCATTAATCATGAATCTTGTTTCGATTCTTATTCCAATAACAATTTAATCTAATGATATAAATTTGATGAGAAACAAAATAATCAACTTATTTTCACTAATATTGATATTAACCATAAAAGTATCTTGTTTCAATGGTTCAAGTAAACTGTTTCTGTGACATGAAAATATTGCTCTAAATTATTGTTGTGTTATTAAATTAAATTAGCATACATTTTTTACCATTAAAGTCACTTGTAACCTTTCAACCTTTATCATCATTTCACTGCCGATCTTCATCCTCATCTCCAAAGGGAATCTCATTTTGTCACTGTTCAATGCAATTTATTGTTCCCAAGGTAACTTTCACTTTTTTGTGTTTCATCTTGAGAGTGAAAAAAAGGATGAAAAAGAGATGAAAATGATGAGCAAGGAAGAAATTAAATTACCGTAAAATGATGATTTTTTAAACTTTGGCTGCATTTAAATTTCATCTCAAACCAGATACACTTTCTGTTATCCTTGTCTCTTCACCTCATCCCGGTCTCCTCTCCATTCACCTCCCATCATCATCATCATCTTGACTTCAATTGAAACACACCATTACTTGATTGTTTCCAGATCATGTGAACATCCATTCCAGATCACATAACATTGATTTTACAAGCTTAAGCTTTTGTTCATTCCTCAGTATCATCATCTCACAAGAATGTCAACTTGTCTTCTTCCTCTTCCTATTAGAGGACAAAAATGTCCTTCTAGGTTTATCTTTAAAATGGGTCTGAAAAAAAATGTTCAACAATTCTGGTTAACTTCAATTCACCATAATTCACTTTACTTGTCAATTCTGGGAATCTCTTGAATAAACCAGATTACTTTGTCTCACATTCAGGGTAACAACGTAACATTTTTTCGCCTTCTTCTGTTTACTTTTTTCTTTCCATCATCAACATCACTTTATCATTTCAATTAATCATCAATTTCATGTAAAAATATCCATAAAATGTAATCTGAACAAAGTTTCAAAATTCATTTTCCAGATTGGAAACAATGTTGCAAGAAAAAGCTCAAAATTGTTTCCAGAAAAAAGTTCACAACGAAAATCAAGAAACTGAAAAAAATGATAAACGAATTTCTGGAAAAATGAAAATTTCCCCAAAATCTGATCAATTTCAACTGAACATTTAATCCATTTTCAATGAAAAAAGTAAATTAATTCAAATCGAAAAAAATTAACTTTAAAATTTAAATGAAAACTCAAGTTCGTCAATCAATTTTGAATCAATCTTAAGCCTTTGAAAGCCTTTTGAAACATTAAATTAACCTTTTCTAATTGTTATTACAGGCAATCAAATGTACCAAAAACAATTGCAGTTGTGAATGTTTCTCTCCAGGCAAAGGAATCCATTTCAGGGAATGTTCATCATGTAATCATCCTTGGATACATCATGGTGAGTCTTGATAACTATTTAAACATGAAACTCAATTGAAATGTCAACCTCAATAGAAGTGATAATTGTTGAGTGAAAAAAACAATTTTCATTGAAAGTGAAAGTTTTTTTCCTCTCTTCATTTTGTTGAATTTTTATACCAAAAATGAGTTATTTTTAAGTTCAACTTAAAATGTGAAAACAAAACAAAATTCAAAGTCTAAACAAGTCTTAACCTTCAGATGAAACAAAATATCAATCTTAATCAGAATCGCGTAACTTTCCTGTTAATTTCATTCATCTTGAAGCTTCTTTATCTTGTTAATCAAATGTTGCTTTGAAAAACAAAATGTTCATCTTGAAACTGATATTTTAAAGAGTCACGATTGACCCAAGTTCAGCTGAAGGATTCATCATCATCATGATAATAATTGTGATGATAATTTCTTCTCTCGTTATTTTCCATCATGATAAGCTTTTCTCTTCATTCATTTTCATCTTTTTTGTTCATCATTAAAGGTTGAATTCACAATTTATTATTCAAACAATGTTTACCATTCATTACATGGACGCATCACATTTATTCCCAATAATTACATTTAATCACTTCAACTGTTAGTTTCATCAATAATGATAATAATAATTGAATGTTGAATAACTGAGCAACAATGTAATTTCAATTTTCCAATATTTCAATATCATTAATCAACTGATTACTCTGGTTATCTTTACTGTTCAATGTTAAAGAAACAGAGTTAAGATGATTAACATTATTAATAATGTAAAAAGCATGATAATGTCCGAGTGTTACCTATTGTTAACCATCAAAATTGGAGTCACTTTGGGTCCATTATTTCCTTGAAACATTATCTTTCCATTTTCATCTTCATCTTGATCCTCATCTTGATCCTTATGGCGATCATTATCTTCATTTTGACGGGTAAAGTCACAAATTATTCACAAGTAAATGAATTGTTAATGAAATCTTTCCGATATTTCATGTTCTTCCATGTTCATCTTTTATTCCTTTCCCATCTTGTTCATCTTGTTCATCTTCTTTCCTCCTTCTTCATCCAGTAAAGGGTTAGTCTTTTGGTTAAATCCGTAGTCTATTTACACCAAAAGCGCAATTTTTCCTTCTTCATCTGTCCAATGTTCATCTTTGTTACAATCATTTCAGGCTTTAATCATACTTTGCTCACAGCATTATCATAATTTCATTTCTGAATAATTTGTGAGCATTCATTTTTCATGGAAACAACTTAACTCATCAATTTATTGATCAACATCTTGCATTGATCATCAAATTTTTCCAGTGAAACTTGGAGTTGGTTGAAAAACTTATTTCTTTTCCTCTTCTTTTCTTCTGTGAATCAAAGTTAATCAGATAGGAAATGAAATTTATTCACATGAAATTAATAACAAACTTTCAACAGTTATCATCTACAAGTAACTCATCAAGTTATCATGGTTATTGTAAGGTGAAAAGGCAGGAGTAAAAAATGATGAAGACAAAGAAAAATGTCTTCACTGTCAAAGGTTTACCATTGAGAGCATTTATTTCAAACTCTCAAGGGTTAAGAACTGTTTTTAACCTTTCGTTTAGCGTTTTTCTTTCTCTTTCTCTCTCTTTCTCTTTTTTCTCTGACCTTACCGAAAAAAATGATTCAAGATAATGATGAGGATAAGGAATGATGAACATGATGAAACTAGTTTAATATTAAAAAGGTAAAGGATGAAAAGGAATGAAATTTTTTTAATAAACACAAATAAACTGGAGACAAGTAAAATAGTCCTCGAGGGATTTAAACATGATGCTGACAACTATTTGCAACCCAAGACATTTATCCATTGGATTGAAACATTGGTGTGATGATAAGAAGAAGATGAAATTACACATTAAGATGATGATGAAGAGAGAGAGTGAGATTTCCCCTTTACTTTGCCTTTTCAACTTTCTCTTTATTATATTATTTCTGCATTTTAACTGATAACAGTTTTAGTCAGTCTTTCCAGTCGACTTTAAAATGGTGAAAAATTTATCTCCTCATCATCCTCATCATCTTCATCCCGAGTCATCCTTGTTTCTGCTCCTGGATTCATTTGTATTGCAAAAACTGTGGCAGGCGAAGTGAGTGGTAAAAAATGGAAAGAATTTTCAGGAGAAAGAGAAAAATATTTTCTCCTTTCCAACAATTTATTTATTCCCTGTCTCCAGTGCAATCAATTGTTAAACCTTATTGATGTAACCTTATGTGTTGCCATTATTGTTATTGTTGTTGGTGTTGGTGGTGCTGTATAGCGCTCATCCTTACCATCATTTACAAGTTGTTTGCAGATCAATGAATATTTTGACCATCATCTATTCACAAATTTATTTATTTGTATTAGGAGAAACATCGCAACTGGAAAAGTAGCAACAGCAAGTGGAAAAAAGTGAAACTTTTGAATATTTGAATTTTCACATTCTTCTTCATTTATCGTTGTTTCTTCCTTAAATGTTGCTGTTAAGTGTTTGATTTTTTCACTTTTCAACTGACAACTTTTTTTCCTTTCCTCTCTCATCTTCCAGCTTGCTTGATATCCAGTAATTGAGCTCCAGGGAACGTTTAATGCTTTCCAGAATTGACTCAGTTATTTATGTAGATAAATTTATATAGAAACATGTATTTATTATAACTGCAAACAATCCTCATATTCTGATTAGCAGGATGAAATGATAGAAGGTGGAAAGTTATCAATTTTTATGGACACCAGCAAACCATTTCTTATCAATATAAATGGTCATATTCCATTGCCATATTCTCAGGTGGATAGAAAAAGTTTCTCAAAATCAGCAAATAAATTCAGCAACATTTCCATCTAGATAACATCCAACTTGTCTTTCCTTCTCCTGAAATGGTGAAAATTGAAGATACCATGAATCCATAATTGTCACAGAAACACTTCAACAATAAACTATCCTCTTGATGTTGAATGAAACATCCACCAAAACGAATCAGAGCCCAGAGATATTGACCAAACCAATGCACATAGAATCCCACTGTAAATAACAATGTAAAAATGTAATTGATTGCAATTACAAGTAACATGACACATTACATACCTATTAACAATTCAAATATTGTAATATTGCCCTTTCTCCTCTTGTAATAAATCCATATGCTTTTGTCTAGTCATTCAATTGGTTATATTGAGTTTGAACGCCAAGATGTTGACCAAGCCAATCCAAAGACCCAATGGCATGTTAACTGTAGCTGAATAAAATCATAAGAAATGGCATTAGAAACAATAAATACAATTAAATAACCGTTGACTATCGTTACAGAATCATTACAGACTAATTAACCAATTAAAAACTAGATATAATTAAAACTTATTAATAAAGTACCTAACAAAGACATTTGATAAATCATATGTTAATGAAGAAAGGGGGCGACTTAATCTTTCCTTGTCAACCAAAGTGAAGCGCGTTTTTTGATTCTCTCTTAGCAAAGCTTAATTCAGCCACTTGAGGCAACCTTTCCCTTTCCAAGTTAATCTTTTGGGTCAGTTTCTTGTTCATGTTCAATCTCTGAATCTCTTTTGTGTAACAATTGTTGACAGTTAAACTGTTGACTGTTGAAAGGTCTTCCAGTAATGCAATAAATCACCAACTCATAACATGGCGAAACACAAACAAAAATAAAGCGAGAGCAAGAAGGAGAAGAAAAAGTTTCACCATAAATCAGAAAAGGGAAAACAAAAGATCTGATTATTTCTCAATAATCATCTCTTTTGTCAACCATTTGATTAATACAATTGAAAGCATATTTAGCTGATAGTTTACTAATAGCAATCTGTTTCACCAAACAAATCAACAACAAAATGAGCAGCCAAAAAGAGACCAAAATAATGAAAGTTGAACATTGAAACATTCTGGTTGATATAAGATATAAAAAAAGCTTTTGTCAATGTTCAGTTGATAATCACCAAATAAGGTTACAAATCACGTTCAAGTATTTAAAATTTCCAATTCTAATCTGATCAAAGTCACCACAAAACAAGCTTAAAAGTTGATTAACTGATTTATCATTAAATTATCATTTTGCCAGACAAGTAAGGTGAAAGTGTTCATCAAAAAATGTTCACAAAAATATTAACCTTTCATGAAAGAATGAGAAAAAAAGAAGAAATGAAATCAATGATTAAACTATTATTAGATGTTGTTTATCAAAGCAATTCATGTTCATGGTCATCACAACATTATCATTATCACAGAATCATGTAACTTTGAATCTGTCATGTTAGATTGATAAGGATAAATTGAAATAGACACTTTATTGGTTACAAGGTTTTTTTGCATATCAAACGTCGTTGGTGAAAAGGTACTTTTTGATTACTCAGATGACTTGATTTGACTTTCATTATTTTCAATCAATCCATCAAAGTATAATGAATGACTCCGTTGAGAGGTTCATGTTGTGAGTTAATGTCACCTTTTTATGTTCATTTAATGATGATCATCAACGAAAGGTGAAGATGAATACAAGGATGAATGGCGTTCAAAAAAGAAGAGAAGAGAAGAAAAAAAATTATCCAAAATCTTGAAAATACCTTGAGGGTAAATGAAAATTACGACATGATTTCTGAAGGAGTGTGAGCAAGATTTGATCTGTCTTCATCATCTTCTGATCATGATTCAAGATGTATCAATGTATACAATTATAATTCCGTTACAAGTGAACATTTCTCTTCTTCCATCATCATCATCACTTGATAAGGAAGATGATGTTCAATATTTAGTTTTTACCTGAAAATCTTTTTCTTCTCACTCTACATTGCTTTAATCACCTTTGTGCGATTTTTTGTTACCTCAATTGCATCCTTGTTTATTTTTTGATTATCATCTTTATCCGGCTGATGATATATATATATGTTTCTTGATTATTTTGCTGTTAAATGGTGAACAGTAAATGAACAGGTCAATCAAGTTAATCATGTTAATTGATGTTTAATAGTTTTCGTGAGTGAACAGTTGAACATATGTTGAGCCAGGTTGATGGTTAAGATAACGATCAGGAAGCCTAATCTTGTCACCAAGAAAACTCATGAATCATTACGAGATCAGATAGATTTGCGTGTTAATCATGTAGATATTAATAATGAATCAAGAAGATGAACGTAAAGTTTCAAATTCAACTCAAAGTTGAATAAACGATTCGAATTATTTTGCATGATTGTTGCTGAAAAAATGATGTAAGTGAACACAGTTGCATTCAATGAAAAGAGCTTTCAAATTTACTAGAAAATTGAATGTTTGCTTGTAAAAAACCAACCAAATCCACAAAATGAAATCAGACCGAAATCGTTGTTTCATTTCATCAATCGACAAACTGGTTCAGTAAGATGACAATCATGAGTCAAAAGCCTAATTGATTATTGAAATTGAATGAACAGCAATCACATGAGATGCTCTAAAATAATAGTTAAGATGAAACAAAAAGCTAACAGAAATTGAAAAACTCTATTTTATCTTGTTCTTGGTTTACCCAATTTGTATTATTATGACAGAAAATTGGATTAATTTGTAATCACCGATTAATCACATCTAATGGGGATCTTGATGATTGGTGATTTGGTTCTGATCAACATTTAATTTTTAAGTTGATTGACTTTTGTTGAAAGTCGTTATTTTGCATTATGTGACAACAAATTGGTCAGACTTAAGATCACTTTTTATCAAGATTTTGATGTTGAGCCTTTAGCCTTACAGGTTCAAGTTGAGTTTAACTGACTAACCAGTTGCAGTTAACATCAAGTCTTTATCATGACATTAATCGTGACTGAAGCAACCGCATTTTCACACTTTTAGTGTGACTCAGTTAATAAATTAAACGATTGAAAAATGTCATCAGATTATTTTTCATTTCAACTTTTCGTTTTTACATTTCAAATTGATTACCGTATCGGCGCACATAATGTCACGGTGCCTCGGATCGAGCTCGCTCGTAATAAGTGAGAATTTTAGTCACTGAGCATGCGTTAACTCAGAAAAGGAAAAATTTTTAAAAATCGAAATTGATCGGTTAATAGAGAAATTTTGACTATTATTTTGAATTTTTCAATTAACTAATAGAAATGCATTCATCAAGTCTTTATCATGACATTAATCGTGACTGAAGCAACCGCATTTTCACACTTTTAGTGTGACTCAGTTAATAAATTAAACGATTGAAAAATGTCATCAGATTATTTTTCATTTCAACTTTTCGTTTTTACATTTCAAATTGATTAGTTGGGAAACTAAAACTGGCAAAAAATGAAACATTGTCATCATTTGATAAGTTGATTTTATTCCAATAAACATTCCTCTCTGAACCTCTCTAAACATGATACTGTTTGGAAGTCTTGAACATGAGATTAAGCAAAGCAACAATCAGTTTGAGGTTTAATGTTGATCAAGTTTAATCCAGGTGAACTTGCCTGATTCGTGACACACTCTCACTGATTCGGCTTCTGAACATTTGATCGACGGTTAAACCAAAAAGCAACAATAAGATCAACAGACTTTGACCAGCTGAGAGATGTTATTAAAACTAAAAATTTACTGACTTTCAATTTGTGTTACATTGTGACTCTTGCAACAATCAGGGCTGGACAAATCACGAATCATGCAAAGAAGAAGAAGAAGAAGGCAAAAAATGCCTCATTTTCATCTCTTCTTCTCTATCATCATCATCATCTTGATAATCTTGCAATCTTCTCATCAAACGTATGTTTCCCTTTACAACAAAGTGAAACTTCATCGTCAGGTAAATTTAAATAATTCCCACACACATGCAAACAATTGATAATTGTTGCCGATGCTGTTGATGATGACGATCATCATCATAATGAAGCCAAACTTAAACATAAAAGTCAAAACAGTAAATTCAAGATCATCTTCATCACTCTCTACCGAGCTTCTGAACAACAATCATTTAAAATTATGACAAATAAAATGTTATAATATGTAACATATTAAACAAGAAAAGATGAAATAAAATGTAAAATAGATGAACATCCGACTAGCAATTTGCATGTTAATTGAAGCATCAAAAGGGACTGAGCACAGAGGTAACCTTTGATGTAACAAAAAATGAGCAGAAAAAAATGAAGCGAAACAAAATGGAAGAAAAAAAAATGAGTAAAAAAAAGGTAAAAACAATCATAAGCATCATCTAATAGCAACACTAGGGTGTCACAATAAGATGTGCCTTAAGGCCATGGGAAAGGTAAAAATGATTGACCTTTCAAAGTTATTTAGGCCCACTCCTTGACGGAAAGAGGAGAAGAGCCAAAATGAGGCAAAAAAATTATTAAATGGCCAAACACAGCGTAATAACATAAAGATGATGGCGAACAAGATGAAGAGGAAAAAAAAGAGGAGTGAGCTATGGGAATGATTCTGTGATCATCTTCTGTCTTTGTCTTCACCTTTTGTCTTTCACCATGTTTCTCCCTGAGCAACACTCAGATGATGATAATGATGATTAGCTTTTTTGAAGCAAACGCCAAACCTTTTCAAGTCAATTAATTCTCTCTCTCTCTTTGCCTACTTATCCTGTGATGAGGATGAAAGAGAGATCTAATAAGACAATGATCAACTGTATGACGATATCATGATAATGATTATAATGAGAGTTTCATTATTAATATTTACAAGTAAAGGTGTGTTCAAGGAGAGTTTAATGCCGGACAAACAGTCAACACAATTGTCTAATAACACTTGGATGGAAACAAGTGTTGGAATAATTAACGAGGTAGAAAAGGGGTTTTTCATTGAACGATATTTGACCATCTTTTATGGCAGTCGCACCTAGAAGCACAATTGAAATGCTTTCTTGCACACCTTTTGTTAATCATTTTGATGGATTACAGTTTTGTTACATTAAAATGAAATTTTAAAGGTTGCTCAGCATTCCGCTTTTCACCATTAAAAACACACTTAATAGTCGCTATGTTTTTCAGAGTACAAACTTGTTCAATTGCCTTTAAATTTACATTCAACTTTGCATAATTAACAATAGTTTAATAGTTTATCCACTTTTATGTTGACCATTAATGTTATTACAGTAATTCAATTTGTGTCAACCTTTTTTGTGGTTAACTGTGCAATTGATGAATTACGTGATTGCTGAGCAATTTGTTGTCGTAAAGCAAATGACAAGAAAAAAACATTTTTCATGATTAACTGAGAAAGGAAGGAAAAAAGTTGATAAAATATTTAAGAGTAAACTTGAAATAATGTTTTATTGTTAATGATATTTGAGAAGAAGAGAAATATTGGAGAAAAAAATGTTCAATTGTAATGCTCATGAAACAATTCAATTCTCAACATGAAGTAGATTGAAATGTATTCTGTAAAACGGATGCATTCATTTCCTTTTCCTCATCAGTTGTGTCTCAATTAAAATAATCTCATTTGATTAGCAATTGATTTATGAAGAGAAGAAGAAAGTTTCCAATCAATGTCCACCATTGACCAAACCCATATTAAGTTATCAATGATGACCGGATGAGTTCCAACTGAGAATTGAACAGTTCAGGTTTGATTAAGTATATCACATAGCAATTGCCTTCTCCACCTTAAATCACAATAAAATGATCAAATGTCTTGCAATAATTTATTCATAAGAGAAGCTTAAGAAATTTCTCATGGTGAGTGAAAACTTGAATCTGATGAGAAGTTCATTTGTCCATTGATTATCCATATTTCCTGAGTTGAAGTATTTTATAGTTTTAATCACGAAATAATTGAATTTCCATGTCATTTGATTGTTTGAACTTTGTTCACTTAAATGGCTAATAAATGTTGATCAACATTAACCATTGGACCATAATTGTCTAC